CCAGGTTGGGCAGGTTTGGTAACAAGTTCCTTCAGAGAATACATCTTATTTCATTTCAGTTTGGGGGGAATGTGACTGTTTGATTCTTCCTTCTCCCCGCTTCTCCTCACTGTTGGCTCACTGCCGCTCCATGGCCTCATCCCTGGAATGGTCTTGGTGTTAAAATCGGCAGCTGTTTATTTTGGAAGGCTGGGCCTCACGAATGAGTCTCAGCTGCTCATCCCATCGTTAGGTCTATCACTGACAACTAAGTCATTCGCTGCAGTCACTATTCCCAAGGAAGGCATCCAGGGCCGGGGTTGGGGGGCACATATGTGAGATGCCCACAGGGGTCAGGCCTCTAGGGTGGTACCACGTACCCAAGGCAGAAGCAGAATGTACCCTGCAAAGGGTGGTGGTTGTTGGTTGGCTCTGCAATATCTAGTATATGTTAGGGGGTTGCTTATTGTGGCTCTTCTGGGGTTCCACATGGTTAACTTCTGAGTTGCCTAAAGTATTTGGGGGAGGCAGGTAGGGGATGGACAGGGCAGTGCCCTCAGATGATAGCTATATGGCACCTGACATCTCCTTCCCTTGTGTTCTCCTGCCAGGTGGCGTCATCACCTACATTGGCTCTAGTGGCTCTTCCCCAAGCCGAACCAGCCCTGAGTCCCTCTACAGTGACAGCTCGAATGGCAGCTTCCAGTCCCTGACCCAGGGCTGCCCCACCTACTTCCCACCGTCACCCACAGGCTCCCTCACCCAGGACCCAGCTCGTTCCTTTGGGAGCATTCCACCCAGCCTGAGTGATGATGGCTCTCCTTCATCTTCCTCATCATCCTCTTCCTCCTCCTTCTATAATGGGAGTCCCCCAGGGGGTCTACAAGTGGCCCTGGAAGATAGCAGCCGAGTGTCCCCCAGCAAGAGTACCAGCAACATCACCAGTGAGTACATTTTCAGTTGATCTGGAGGAAAGGACTGTGGCCAGGCCTAGGTTGGGAGTCAGTGTCAATGTGAAACAGCTATTCCCAGGGCCTACCCTGACCTTGGTGATTTCTCCTAGAGTTGCACCAGCTTAGTCTGGTCATTTGAGTGCCCCCTAGATCCGGGGGCTCCTCCTCGGTTTTCCCCCAGAACTTTCAGCCCGGAAAACCTTAATCTCTAGCCACTGGGACAGCCCTCCTGCTCCCTCACCCACTCACTGCCCCTCTCTTCCCACAGAGCTCAATGGCATGGTGCTGCTGTGTAAGGTGTGTGGGGATGTTGCCTCGGGCTTCCACTATGGCGTGCATGCCTGTGAGGGCTGTAAGGTGAGACAGGTTGGGGGTAAGGGAAGGGGCAGGTGGCCCGCTCCCCCAGGACGCCTAAGTCTGGCCTAGACAGAGATGCTCACTGGCTGCCCTTGCCCTCCAGGGCTTTTTCCGTCGGAGCATCCAGCAGAACATTCAGTATAAGAGGTGTCTGAAAAATGAGAACTGCTCCATCGTCCGCATCAATCGCAACCGCTGCCAGCAGTGTCGCTTCAAGAAGTGTCTCTCCGTGGGCATGTCCCGTGACGGTGAGGCAGCATTGTGACCCCTGGAGTACCCCGCGGCCTCCCTTTTCCTTCCACCCCAAGTTTCTGAATTTATCCCTCCCTTAAAAAAGTCCCAAACTGAGATACATCATACAGGGAGTCCCATTTGCATAGGGGACGCCCATACTTCATCCTCTCGGGTAAACACAGTTCTTCCCCTTTAGTTCCGTGTCACCTCCTACCACTGTCCCTACTTGGAAAACCCCTCCACGGGTGTGGCCTTGCTGGTTTTCGTTTTGCTGCGGAACCCCAAGCCTTCAGGGTCTTGCCCTCTCAGGAGGAAGGAAGGAAGAGAGCATGTGAGTGCGTATGAGAACTTCCTGACCCTGCTCTCATCCTGTCACAGCTGTGCGTTTTGGGCGCATCCCCAAACGAGAGAAGCAGCGGATGCTTGCCGAGATGCAGAGCGCCATGAACCTGGCCAACAACCAGTTGAGCAGCCAGTGCCCACTGGAAACCTTGCCTGCCCAACACCCGAGCCCAGGCCCCATGGGCTCCTCACCACCCCCAGCTCAGGCCCCCTCACCCCTAGTGGGCTTCTCCCAGTTCCCACAGCAGCTGACTCCTCCCCGATCTCCAAGTCCTGAGCCCACAGTGGAAGATGTGATATCCCAGGTGGCCCGGGCCCACCGAGAGATCTTCACCTACGCCCACGACAAGCTGGGCACCTCACCTGGAAACTTCAATGCCAACCATGCATTGGGCAGGCCCCCACCTACCACCCCACATCACCGGGAAAATCAGGGCTGCCAGCCTGTTCCCAATGACAACCTCATGGCTGCCCAGCGTCACAATGAAGCCCTGAATGGTTTACGCCAGGCTCCTTCCTCCTACCCTCCCTCCTGGCCCCCTGGCCCTGCCCACCACAGCTGCAACCAGCCCAACAGCAATGGGCACCGTCTGTGCCCCACCCACGTGTACCCAGCCCCAGAAGGTGAAGCACCTGCCAACTGTCCGCGGCAGGGCAACTCCAAGAATGTTCTGCTGGTGAGGGCACTGGGGGTGAGGTGGGCCGGGGGCCTGGAGGACTGGATTTAGCATAGGGCAGCTGGGTGTGCCAGGAGGCTAATGCAAGGCTCTCCTCTTCCCGGGGGAGGATGCTCAGCCCTGCAGGCAGGGCTCTGCCTGGGAACCCCTGATCTCCACCCGAAAGACTATCCTCCACAGCCACAGCCTCTCACTCAGGCAGACTCCAGGGCCCAGAGCTGCAGGGGGGGGCTCATTTGAACTAGCCTGGCTGATACTCCCCTCCCCGATCCCTTCCTCCTCCAGGCGTGTCCGATGAACATGTACCCACACGGATGCAGTGGGCGAACCGTGCAGGAGATCTGGGAGGATTTCTCCATGAGTTTCACACCCGCTGTGCGGGAGGTGGTAGAGTTTGCCAAGCACATCCCCGGCTTCCGTGACCTTTCTCAGCATGACCAGGTCACTCTGCTGAAGGCTGGCACTTTTGAGGTAAGTGACCTCTTTGGTGCTCCCTGCTCTTGACCTGGGGAAGCACCCGACAGGAAGTCTTGGTGTCTGGAGCAGGCAGTGGCTCTGAAAGGCTGTCCTTACACACTGATGAGGAGGGGCAGAATGCCTCCCTCTCCTGCCTCAGGATGGCTAGGACTTCTGTCTTCTAAGCTGGGGCCTAATCACATGCTGTCGCCTTTAAAATAACACTTTAGGGCACATTGCTACCCCCATTCCAGGCCTGAGCAAATGAATGTTAGTGAAGTGACTTGCCCCAGGTCACTGATAGTGACTTAGTTGTGACTGACATTCAGGCCTGTAGGATTCCAAAGCCAGTGGGATAGTTCTCTTCCTTCCACCTGGCCCCCCACCTCCCATTAACCCACTCAGAAACTGTCCCCACTGTTTCCTGAGAAATGTAGTCAACCCTTCAGAAACTTGAGGGGTGGTGCCTTGGCAAGTGGGCCTGCCACCTCACCCAGGATGACTGTCCCCCGTGTAGGTGCTGATGGTGCGCTTTGCATCGCTGTTCAACGTGAAGGACCAGACAGTGATGTTCCTGAGCCGCACCACCTACAGCCTGCAGGAGCTCAGCGCCATGGGCATGGGAGATCTGCTCAACGCCATGTTCGACTTCAGCGAGAAGCTCAGCTCCCTGGCGCTTACCGAAGAGGAGCTGGGCCTCTTCACCGCGGTGGTGCTTGTTTCTGCAGGTAGGTCAAGCTTTCGCCCGAGCCTGACCGGGGGGAGGAGGCGGACGCAGTTCAATTGAACACACCTTTTATGGAGTACCTACTCTACGCCAGGCCCTGTGCTGGGCACTGGGGATACAGACATGATTCAGACACAGTCTAGCTTGGGAGACAGACTCATGCCCGACTAATTATAAAACAGTGAAATAAGTGTCACAGTAGAAGCATGAACCAAGGGCTTTGGAAGCACAGACAACTATTTCTGCCTGGGGAGCTGGGGAAGGAGGTGACACTTGAGTGGGGCCTCAAAGGACAAGTACGATATTGCCAGGCAGGGGTGGGGGTTGGGGGCTGGGTGGGGCAGGGCCAGGCAGAGGGAACTACAGAGCAGAAAGCAGGGGGGCCTGGATACGTTTGGCCTGTTTAGGGAGAGCGTGGCCTTGCGGGGTGGGAGGTGCCCAGCCCCGCTGAGCCCAGGCGGCCATGCTGGGGCAGAGGCCTAGGAGGAGGAGGTGTACTCCCCTCCTCCTCCTTCCCCTGGGCCCTCTGAGGGGCTTCAGGGAGAGACTGCATGGCCCGCCATGTCCTCCTGGCGGACCTCCTCCGGGTCCTCGTCAGAGGAGCTCAGGGAGCCTGCCTCACTGCTGTCGTCTTCCCCACAGACCGCTCGGGCATGGAGAATTCCGCTTCGGTGGAGCAGCTCCAGGAGACGCTGCTGCGGGCTCTTCGGGCTCTGGTGCTGAAGAACCGGCCCTTGGAGACTTCCCGCTTCACCAAGCTGCTGCTCAAGCTGCCGGACCTGCGGACCCTGAACAACATGCATTCCGAGAAGCTGCTGTCCTTCCGGGTGGACGCCCAGTGACCCGCCCGGCCGGCCTTCTGCCGCTGCCCCCTTGTACAGAATCGAACTCTGCACTTCTCTCTCCTTTACGAGACGAAAAGGAAAAGCAAACCAGAATCTTATTTATATTGTTATAAAATATTCCAAGATGAGCCTCTGGCCCCCCAAGACTTCTTGTAAATACCTGCCTCCCTCCCCCATCACTAAGCCTCCCCTCCCCCCTATTTAAACCACTCTGTCCCCTCTAATTCTCTAGCCCCCCAATTTGTTCTATTCCTGTCTCAAATCCAATAGTTCACAGCTGAGCTGGCTTCTGTGGTGTGTGCTCGTTGGGGGCAGGGGGTGGGGGGTGGAAATATTGCCAAGGTCGGGGGCACACCTCTCCATCTGCTCAGTTTGTGGGCTGGATACTCTGCCAGCAGATGGGAGGATACAGGGAAACAGCACACAAGTCTAAGGGGGGTGGCCAAGGGGGTTATTTTCATCATATATTTATTACATAAATATATAGTAAAATAGACGAGCAACAATTACCATAAAAATATCTTTCTTTAAAATCCTGACCCAAAACACAACGGGATGAAAAATCGCACATAACAGACATACTGATTGTCAACGTGGGGCGGGAGTAGGAGCCCCCCAAGTCACTCCTGCCGGCCCCGCCCCCGGGGAAGGGACCTACCTCCTTCCCTGTTTCTGGCCACAACCCCCCTCCCCCCACCCCAGCACCAGCTTCTCATACATTCAGTAGCGCCTCCAGGGAAGTGTCCCCCTCCCCCACCCAGGAGTTCCCAGGGCAGGAATTACTGTCCCCCTCATGGACGGTGTCTGTGTCACATGCCCTGCCCTCTCCCAGCCCTGTAGACCCGCAACTAGGAGAAGGGGTAGGGGCTCCTCCACCCCCACCCTCCCCAAGTCTAAGCAGGGAGGAGGCTGGATGAGGTATGTGTGTTATGAGTGATAGGACGGGGAATACTGAGATGGAGAGGTGGGTGGTGGGGGCGGGGTAGTGGTCATGGCTCTGGCACCCCCTTGTCCTGGCCTGGACCCCTCGTCCTATTCTCAGCAGCCCCTCCTCCCACCAATACTGCACCTGCTGCCCCACCCTGCCTGCCCTAGTGCCCCGGGCCAATACTGGGGGAGACATGCTAAGCACCCACGTCAAGGGCATCCCCCTCATTAGCACCAATGGCCCCCAGGAGAGGGCCCTGTCCCTGACTTCCAAAGCAGGGACTGGGACAGCTGCCTCTCTAGAGCAGGTTCATGGCATTCCTGAGTCCCCCCCAGCTCCTCCCCCACCACGTGTACTCGCTCACACATTCACGCAGAGAAATGCACACATACACCCCACATCACTGCGAGTGAGGGGGAGGTCGGGGGAGGAGTAGGGAATCACAGCTCATATGATTGGGGAGGGGTATGGGGATTCCAAGTGCCTGTAAGAGGCCAAGCCTCTTCAAGGCCTTTTCTCCACCATGTTCATGGCTGAGAATGGGGGTTGAGGGGTAGAGGTGGGGCTGGAAGGATGGAGGAGACAAAAGACAGGTCAGGAATTCCACTGGGCCCCCAGGGGTAGCAAGAGGGTCCAAGAGGGCTTGCCCGTAGGACAGGAGGAATACAGGAATCAGAGCCCCAGGAGAGAGAGAGAGAGAGGGAGAGACAAAGACAGCGTGTGCGGCCACCTGCCCAAGGGGGTGGGGCGGGCACACGCACAGGTGACAGTGGGTGCTCTTCCAGGCCCTCCCCTCCGTGGGAACACCTGCACGGCAGGGAAAGGATGGGCCCTGACGGGCAGCACAGCGTGGCCTGCGTGTGTGTCGGGGGACGTGGCAGGCTGAGGGTCCGGGTGGGATGGCAGGTTTCCCCACTGCTTAAGACATGTTTGCCCCAATAGTGCAAAGCGCAGGAAGCCCTGGCACCCCTCCCCCCGCCCCATTCCCCATGGCTTCCGGGGGCATCTATGTCCACCCATCCATCCCTGCCGACATACAGCCCTGAGCCCAGGGCCCTCTGGTCTGCTCTGTCCCTCCCCACCCTCCCCTTCCCCCACCCATGGGAGAGCCACCTCTTCTGTCCCCCTCTCCCATGCAGAGTGGGCGAGAGCCAAAGGGAGGAGGAGGAAGGCAGCCACCCAAATGCAGACCAACAGACCATTCCTCACCAGGAAGGTGGGAGGTGGCTCAAGCCAAAGTCCCTGAATTAGAGAAAAGAAGAGGGGAAAGGGGTCCCGGGGCCAGAGGGGCGGCTAGCCTAAAGAGCTTCAAAGAAACAAAAGAAGGAGCACCAACCGCCCCCTGCCCCAGAGCCCCAACTAAGTGCTATGAGTCTAAGCGCCCCATTCCTCGGTGCCTGCCCGCCCGCCCAGAGTCTGGGTTAGTGCGTTGAAGTGGGCGTAGGAGAGGAGGAGGGCAGGGGTTAGAGAGCCCAGAAGACATGTGGGAGACAGAGTCCTAGGAGCGGGGAGGCTCCGGGAGGAGCTCCAGCACCCCCGCCCCCCGCCCCTGGTGCAGCAGCATCTGGGTTGTAGCTAATACTGCAGGATGTGAGGAGGGCGGGAGCTTGAGCCACAGTTTTTCCTGTGTGGGTGCCAAGGTGTGGAAGGAGTGGGGGGTGGTGTGGGGACAGGGAGAGGCCCCTGGGGCTGGGCACTTGAAAGGGGAGCTGTGCAGGCAGCAGGGCAGGCTGGTGAGGGGCCAGCTGGCATCCAGCGTGAGAGGTAGATGGAACTCAGCGGGCACGAGTGGCAGAGAGCAGAGGGAGCACTGGGTGGGGGTGCCAAAGGGGCACAGAGGGAGGGGCAAGGCAAGGGGGGGTGGCCAGGACCCTGTTGTGTTAACTCACAGCTCTGATCGGCAGCCCTACCCTTAGGGACCTTGTACAGAGGTGGGGGGGGCAGTTCTCTCTGATTGGGGGTGGGGGGGCAGCTCTCAAAGTGCATGGGGGTGGTAGGGGGGTCCTCCCCTCTGGCCAGCCTCAGTTAATAACTTAATATTATCTCTCTCTCTCTATCAATCGCTCGCTCTCTCTTTTTTCTTTTTCTCTCTGTCTAGTTTTTCTTCATTTATCTTCTCCCCTTGCCTGGTTTTCAAAGTGCAGTTAGAATGACTATAATTTTTAACCTCCGGTAGGAGCCAAGCCACGCCCTTCTTTGCACCCAGGCATCTGGGGAAGCAGAGAGGCCCTTAGCCCGTAGCCTGAAGGGGGAATCTAGGCCAAGGAACTAGACAGGGGACGCTCTCGTGTGTGTAGGGGTGAGGTGAGGGCATTTCCCCCCACCCCATGCTCCTGTCCCCTACAGTCGGGATGGCTTGTCCCCTCTGAGTTCTCCCTCCTTTCCCCTACCTTCTTAGAGGACGGGGTCCTGGGAACTGCAGGACACGGTCCCTCCCAGCCTCCCACACTGTCCTTTTCATAGCAAGTTCATTTGTTTGCCCTGCCCCAGGGCTGGAGGTTCTGAGGAGGGACGGGATAGTGCGGGCGTGTGTGGGAGCTGAATCTATCCGAGGATGAGAGGAAGGAGAGAAGAGGTGTGGGGGTCTCCCTCAGCCCCCAGCTCTGCCCCTTCTCTCCAGGCTCCTCCCCACCAGCTCCGCACACCCTCTGGCCGCCTGAGGCTTTAGACTTCCTGATCCTCAAAGACCTCGAGGAAGAGTGGGGGGAAGAGTTCGGTGGGGCACTCGACTTTCATGTGGAGGAAGCGGCTGGCGTGGCAGGCCCCGATCATGCGGAGGTCAGTCACCTTCATCAGCAGCTTGGGCCAGAAGTGCGGAATGTTGTGTTTGCGGTGGTTGACGTAGTGCTCAAACGCCAGCAGGTACGCCTCCTGACTCTTCTCGATCTTGTCCACACACAGCAGGCCCGAGCGGTCTGCAGGACAGGAGGGGCGTGAGCACGAGTGGGCAGCGGGAGACGGGGGAGGGAGGAGGGGCAGTGAGTGGAGAAACACACACGTGGGGGGCATGTGTAGGAGGAACAACTCCACGGCGGTGGGAGGGAGACGAGGGGAGGACAGATGGAGGGATAAGAGACAGAAGGACAGAGAGGTGAGAAGAGAGGAAACTCTGAGACAGGACGGGACTGGCGGCAGAGAGAAGGGTTGGTGGTCAGCCTTCCCAGCCAACCAGCAAGTACCTGTTGACATTAGCAGCACAGCCTGCAGTAGAGCCACTTCTGTGTCATCCAGGTTAAAGGCAGAGAGTGACTTGCCCAATTCAAAGATGGCGTCGGAGACTACGCCCAGGCCGCCATTCTTGAGCTGCTCCCGCTTGACGGCCATCTCCCCGCTCAGCGTCAGGGTGTCGCTCTCAGGGTCATAGCGGACGGCAGCCCGCAGGGACATGATCTCCATGCAGCACCCCTTCAGGAGGATGATCTGGTCTTCACAAGGCAGCTGTGGAGCGGCAGGGACACGGGGATGTTCAGCACGCCCCTCCCTGAGCGCGTCCCCTGTGGGTGCCCCTTGGGAGATGTGCGGCCCCCGTTGGCCTCGGCCAGTAACATGTACTCTGAAGAGCGAACCTTGAGTTGGGCCACAGACGTGCCCTATTTCATGAAATCTCACAGTTTTCCTACCATTCTCTCCATCCCTACTGCAGGTGAGGACACTGAGACACAAGGGAGTTGGTAACACAGCCAAGGTCACGCAGTTGGTATGGCAGCCTGTCCCATTAGTGCTCTTCAAGAGGAGAGCTCCCAGGCTGCCTAGAGTTGGGATGGACGTGTGGACTTGTGGGGGAGAGGGGCTGGGAGGCGCTGTGGAGACTGGGCCCTGGCAGCCTGCTGGTTCCTTAGGGATCAGGCAGCTCAGAGAGAGAGAGAGAGAGAGAGAGAGAGTTGTGTGTGTGTGTGTGAGTGTGTGAGTGTGTGTGCTGGGCATGTGTTGACCTAAAGGACTTGCTCCATGCCCAGAGGAGCTCAGATGAGAATGTGCTAGGGCTGAGTGACCGGGGGAGCGGGTCCCGGTTTCCCTCCAGTGTCATCACCATGGCTCCCTGCCCATCTGCCACTCACCTCGGAGAACATGGGCAGTTTTTTGGCAAAGTCCACCACACGAGTGATGGCCGGGGTGATGATCTTGGTAAACTCGCTGAAGGCCTCTAGGTCCACCTTGTCTCCGTCCGGCATGGAGACGATTGGTGACTGGCCAATGTCATCCGGCTAGAGGGACAGATGGAGGTCAGCTGGGGCTGCAGACCCCTTTCAATCTCTAAGGGTCCCTGCCCACCAGGGGGAGCTCCAAGGCAGCTTGGGGAAGAGAGGCCACCAGTACCTGGGACTGCTAAGTCCCAGGCCTAAGGCTTCTCCTTCACCTTGGGGCAGAGAACAGACCAGAGCCACAGCTCCAAGCCTGCTAATATAACAATGATCATAACGGTAGCAGAAGTGATGTCATAATAATAGAAGCTATATTTATTGAGTATTCGATATGTGGCCAGGCCTTAGGTTACATGTTTTACATATATTATCTCATTTAATCCTCATCACAACCCCATAAGATATTATAATTATCTCCATTTCACAGGTGAGGAAACTGAGGCATAGGGGAGCTAACTGATAAGCCCAAGGTCACAGGACTCGTAAGTTATAGAACCAGGCAGTCTGATTCCTGACTGCGACACACAGCTGCTTGGTATCAGAGCCTTGCGTGCACACACTGGCACACCCCACCAGTGTCCTGCCTCCCCCATAGCATACGACCAACTGTCCATCGCCCCTCAAGCTGACCATTCACGTGGCACTCACTCAGTTTTGCCAGGGCCTAACACAACACCCGGCACCCGGAATACTGTTACATGACTGTGTCCTCCCCGACTTTGATGAGGATGGCAAGTCCCTGTCCTCACATAGCTTCCAATTGGACGGAGCAGGGAGGACCCAGACAGCAGGGACACATGTACAGGTGTACAAATCAAAACCGCCAAGGTGTGGGGAGTATCAGCTTGGGTTAGATTAAACTAAGAGGGCTTCCTGGAGGAGGCAAGACTCTGAGCTCCCTCACCTCTCCCTGGCACCTGGCTGCCCCTCACCCCCACCCCCTCCCTCCTTACCAGGAATTTCCGCCTCTGCTTCCAATGGCTGCCCTGGGCATTTGTGCTGCGATGGGCCTCCGTGGCGACATGGATCAGATCCCACTCTTCGGGAGTGGGCTCTGGTCGCTGCTGCAGTGAACGAATCATCTCCTCCTTCCTCCGCCGCTCCCGGTTCTGCTCAATCAGCTTGCGCTTGGCCACCCGCTTTGAGTCATCTAGAACCACTGTCAACAACAGGAGGACACGTGCCCTTCGAGTGGCAGTCTCCGCTACTCTCTCAGAAACTGCTCTCCCCACGGCGCGGGTCGGGGAAGCTGAGGGCCAGAGGGGTTGAGTGACTTCCGAATCACCTAGCAGCCAGGGGCACAACCTGAATCACAGTAATCACCGGGATATTGACTCCACTTTGGGCTGATTCAGAGGCTGAGCAGGGTCTGCTCTAAAGGGTTATGGTGATAGCAGTTACTGGAAGACCCTGCTACCCTTTGGTAGAGAGGCAATAAAAGATGTCCTCTCACCCAGAAGTGGGGTGCCCCCTTTGGTAGTCAGGAACATGGTATGGCTAGGGTGGGGTGCTCAGGACTTCTTTCTACCCAACAACCCCCTCTGAAGCCTGGAGTGGTGAAAGGTGGGTAAGCACTGGGGCTCACACACGGAACCCAGGGAGGAATCCTTTGTTTCCTTTCCCCGGGGATGAGGGCGGCAGGGACCAAGATCCTGAACATTCATTCCACCATCAGTCTGACCTGCACGGTCACTCTGCCCTGTGGGCCCTGAGGCTACTCTGGAAGGGAGTGGCCACATGTGAACTTGCCCCCACCCCAGCCACCCGGCCTGACAGTCCCCATGCCCCACCCCCTTACAGTCCATGGCCATGCCCACGGAGATGCACTTCTTAAAGCGGCACAACTGGCACTGGTTGCGGGTGATCTTATCGATGACACAGCAGCTGTCATATTTGCAGGAGTAGGTGGGATGCAGGTTCTTCTGAATTGTGCGGCGAAAGAAGCCCTAGGATGCGGGGAGAGGGAGCGTGTTGAGATCGTGACCTTCCCTTCCTGAACTCAACACGCAGTTCGTGGGGGTCGGGGGTTAGTGAGGGAGCCTGGTTACTCCTGCCCCAGCAAGCTCGGGGCCACTGGGCTCTGCCAGGACTTAGGAGGGCCTTAGGAACACACACCCTCAGCTCCTCTGGCTGCTAAGGGGTGGGGGTACATGGGTGGGGGTGGGGGTATGGCAGAGGCAGGGAGGATGAGTGAAGTTCAGAGACCTGGGCCTGAGATAGGGTGGGGTCCTGTGCAGTACCACAAGTCCAGTTAGTACCTGATTTCCATCTTGCTAAATGACTCTGAAACCACACTGACCCAAAACCATTTTCATACATGCTGCCTGTTACCCATGCAGGTGGAGTTTTTGAAATGAGGTGGAGGGGGGGTGTCAAAAAGTCAAAATAAGGCATTGTGTATGAATTCTGGTAGCTCTAAAACAAAATTTCCAGTTCTATACATCACGTTGAATGCTCACTATGTGCCAGGCACTTAAAAGCCTTTTCCCGGAGGCATGAGCATGTGTAACACTCGTGTGAACCCCATGCGGTAGGAGAGGGGAGGCTGTCCCTGTCTTCATTTTGCTGACTAGAAAACTAAAGCTTGGAGAGATTTAGCAATGTGTCCAATTTGCTTAAATTGCCCAAATGGGCATCTGAGCCAGAACAGGTCCTGAGGCGTGGGGACACCAAGGTCTGGGCTCTCAGACTCTGGGGTGCACTAAAATCACCTAGGGTACTCACCAAAAGTACAGATTCCCGGCCAACAACATCAGACCCTCGAGGGGCGGGGTCAGGCCTCTCTGTCCTTTGGAGAGGCCCCTCTGGAACTCAGAGGGGCTTGAGGGTGAGGCTTCCTGCTCTATGCTACGCTGCTTGTATGGCTTCCAGGGACACTGCCGTGGGACTCTAAATCCCTAGTGGTCTTGGTTTGGTTGACACCAAGAAAGAAACGAACTTCAAGTCTTTACATATATATTTTAGAGGGGAGGGAGAGAGAGAGAAACATCCATTTGTTGTTCCACCTCTCTATGCATTCATTGGTTGTTTCTTGTATGTGCCCTGCCTGGGCACTGAACCTGCAACCTTGGTATATCTAGACAATGCTCTAACCAACAGAGCTACCCAGCGAGGGCCCCTTAACATATTTTTAAATATTTCTGATTCTAGGAAGGTTACGTTTGCAGGAGGTGATGATCCCAGAAAAACCACACAGGTTGAAATACCCAAAGTGAAACCTAATTAAGCCTCCCCAAGTCTATAACCCTGTCCCCTCTGCCCAGGGAGACTCTGCCATCCTCTTCCTCTCTGGGCCCCCCCACATACTGCACCCCCCACCCCACATTGGTTCTCATCCTTTCAGGTGCAGTGGAAGCAACTGGGGAACCTGCCCCAGGGAGATTCCTGGGCTCGACCACAAAAGGTTCTGCTGGGGCTGGAGTGAGGGCTGGGATCTGCATTTGACTCACACTGCAGGTGGTCCCTTGAATGGCATTTTGAAAAACACTGACACTGGTTTCAGCCGACGTCTGTCTTGTCGGTAGGCTGTAGGCAGCGTGAGGACAGAACACACACGGCACCCCTCACGCCTAACACACTGAGTGGGGGAGTGACTAGGGATGTTGGCTGGGTGCTCCTTCTGTGCCTGCCATTGTTTTACTTTTTATGTTTTTAGCAAAGTATTTTTATTATTAATTTTAGAGAGAAAGGGGGAGAGAGGGAAACATCGATTTGTTGTTCCACTTATTTAGGCATTCATTGGTTGCTTCTTTTTTTTCTTTTGTTTTAAAAATTTTAAAGATTTTCTTTATCTATTTTCAGAGAGAGGGGAAGGGAGGGGGAGAGGGAGAGGAACATCAATTTGTTGTTGCCTCTCGTGCACCCCTAACTGAGTACCTGGCCTAAAACTCAGGCATGTGCCCTGACAGGGAATCGAAGCTACAACTTTTCAGTTCTCAGGCCGGCACTTAGTCCACTGAACCACACCAGCCAGAGTAATTGGTTGATTCTTGTACGTGACCTGACTGGGGATTGAACCCAGAACCTTGGTGTGTCTGGGATGACTCTCTAACCGACTGAGCTGCCTGGCCAGGGCTGCTATCACTGGTTTAGATAGTCTGGGTGAATGATCTCACTTAATTCTCCCAACAACTCTATGAGGTAGACAGCATGATTATCCCCATTTTATAGATGAAGAAACCAAGGCTCAGAGATATTGGCCATCTTAACTATAAGGGGCAGAGCAGGGATTATGAATGAACAAATAAACGAACGAATGAATGAATGAATGAGAGAAGAGAAATGATGATGTAACAGATGGGCTTTAGGTTACATGTATATAGAGCCATCTATTGTGCTGGGTACTAAGGACCTTAACAGGAGTGAGACGGGGGGCTCAGGTGGTGGAGGAGGGGCAGGAGCTGGCTGGTCCATACCTTGCAGCCCTCACAAGTGATGCAGCGGTAGTGATAACCGGTTGCCTTGTCCCCACACACGACACACTGCTCGTCTTTGTCCAGGTAACTAGGGATATACCCTGGGAGGGAGGAAGGGAGGCAGGCAGGCAGGCATGGCTTGGGCTCCCAGCAGAGAGGCTTCTATACTCTCTGCAGCCCCCAACTTGTCCTTCCTGGCCCATCCCCTAGCCCAGCTTCCCTGCAGGGTAGAATCCTAGAGGCACATTAGAGGTTACCTTGTCCATCCCCTTCCCTAAGAATATGGAAGAGCAAATGTCAGCAGCTCAGCTCTGGGGAATACAGCCCCTCAGCCCTGATTCTGGGGTGGGGGTGAGGGGTCTCAAGCAAGGGGGTTATGGGAGAAGGGAAGAGGCCCTTTCTGACCTAATCCTTCTTCTAGGCTGGGCCATGCCCATACCGCCCGTCTCACCTTCAGACAAGTCCATCCCAAGCCTCTAGGAGGCTCTTCCTGGCCGACACAGGAGCTGCTGGTACACGGCCAGGCTCCAGGACAGCCATGGTCTGGTTTGGTGGGGTTCGGGGCAGGGAGGAAGGGCACAGGTAGCCAGGCTCACCTGACATACTGGTTTTCAGGGAACATTGGCCGTTCTTTCTTTTTCGCTTTCCATCTGGTGACCTGGCACTGGATGGGGGGAAAGTGAGCAGAATCACAGAGTGGTCTTTGGGCAGCCCCCTTCTCATCCAACAGGCTTACACAAGCCCCCAGGCCTGACTCTCCGCATTGCATGTCCTCGTTCTACCTCCCACCCCCACGTCAGCTGACAACACTAAGAAGGGTCCAGCTATCTAGAAGCTTCAGAGAGAGAGAGAGACAGGGCTTGGCTGGGGCACAGGCATGTTCTAGGGCCCCAACACACACACACACACACACACACACACGCATGCACCCTCCGAGCATTATAAAACCTTAAACACCCGTAATGTACAAGATAGCCACATATTCAAGCCTTCAATATATGACACATGCAGAATCTTCAGAACACACTTCAAGCAGCATAACCTTTAGAACACGTATATGTATATGTAACACAAGACCACTGCATATGAAACTATGCAGCCTTCAGTATCAACCCAAACATGGTACATAAGCATCAGGATCTACATATCCATGCAACTTCCAGGGCCTTCTCAAATGTGTTATATGACCTCTAGGATATGCCCATGTGTTACACAACCCTCTGGACAGACACCTAATAATACAACACCCTCCCCCCCCCGGAAAACATGTTGCTTGATTTCCAGGTCATACATTCACGCTAAATAACCACAGTGACTGAAAATACATAGTGCCTTGCAGCTAGAACCCAGAGCCAAGAATACGGCAATAGGAAAGGACTTCCAGAGTCACCCTGTCCACCATATCCACTTAACGGAGCAGCAGACAGAGGTCCCACTTGTGCCTGCTGATGCTGCACTGAAATCAGGGCCAGGACAAGGACACCGAGCCCCTCCATGCAAGGGATCAGCAACTCACAGCCACTGCACATACGTGTCACCAGCCTCTCCACATACATGTTACATAACCTCAGCACACACAGGTTACGTAAGCCTTCCACATGCGTGCACGGATTGTATAACTTCCCACACCCATCCTGCGTGTGGCATGTTGCAGGGCCCCTCCCCTGATGCAGCTCCCAACATACTGACACAGTGACCTTGGCCAGGGGCACCGTCAAAGACAGTTCTGTGTTCCACGCTCCCTAGGGAATACCCCTGTATAATTTCTGTGACATTTGGAAAGTCGGACCTCCCTCCCTCCTCCAGGAGGGGAAGGTGTGGGAGAACTCCGGGCCACCTAGGCCCCAGTTGAGCTGTTGGTCTTCAGCAATTATTAGATTTACAGCCTCTGGGTGCAGTCCCAAGGACAGCCACAAGATGGCGCAGGGTCATGGGGGGAGGGGAGGGTGACAGGGAGGGGCTGCAGCTCTTGGGGGACCCGGAACCGGGATTCCAGCCTTTCTCTGGTTAGAAGCAGACTCTTCCAGATTCACAGAAGTCTGGGCAGGGAGGTACAGAGGCTGTCAGTTAGAGCTATACAGCGACACCCAATCTTCTTTTTCAGAGTTCCCCCGCCCCCCGCCCCCACCCCTGGAGTGAGGAGGCTTTGGGAAGGGGAAACTCCAGGTGCGCTACCCACTGCCAGCCCCGTCCACTTCCTCCACCCCTCCAGAGACCCAGTCTTGGGCCCCAGGGCTTTGCCTGGCCAGGCCTCTGGCCTCCTGGCTCAGGATCTGGTCTCCTAGGCAACGGCCACTCTGCTCCCCAGAACACTCCATCCCCCACCCTCTCCCTGGCCATAGACACAGGCTGTACCCAGCTCCAGAGGCACCACGCCAACTGGCACAAAGTCCCGTGCCACTTGGAGTTAGTGGGAGAGGCAGAGACCCTCTGGGCTCGACTGCAATGCGGATCACGGGTAGCCCATTCCTGGTGGCGTGTGTAGGGCTGATGCCTCCTCCACGTGTGAGCAAAATCTGTAGTTGGCAATGCCTTCTGCTTCCTGGGAGGAGCCCCACGGCAGTGCCCGCCCTTGCCCACGAACAAGGAAGAGCTTGTGGGGCTCCCAAAAGGTTCCAAATATAAGCATGGGCTGCCACAGTTACCAGCGCCTGTGACAGGACAGTTCAAGGCTAACCCTGCACAGCCATGTCACATGCACCAGGACTCGTGGACTACACACTAGGGGTCAGAACAGGTCAGTGGAGAGAGGGGACAAGTGGCAGGACAGTTAGCATTTCACAAGCTCAGGTGAGGGAGGCCGAGGGGACCCTGGGGGCATCTGAGACTGCCCAATATGGTCAAGGGAGGGGCCGCGTGCCTGCTCCCTATCATTTCTCTGCTCTGGATCACTCCCCCACTCCAAAATGGCTATCTTTCCATCCAGGTGCCTAATTCTCTGTCACATGTGAATACAACCTCACCTCCTGGGCAAAGGCAGGCAGCGGGCTTGCCGGCCTTGCACCCACTCCCCCGAAGGCCCAAGCTCAGCTCTTTCTTGCCCAGCTAGGTGACCATGCCTGTCGCCCAGGAGTCGACACGACCTCGTTGCTGGACCCATTACCTGTTCTCCTCTGGGTCTGACCCACACTCCACCTTGCTTGGCTTCTGTTCCATTCACTTCAATTCCATCCAGGATGCCCTCCAGCACGCCAAGAGACTGGGGTGGGCACACTGGCCCCCCCGGCACACCCACAGGCCGCCCACCCCCCGCCACCCAGGCCTAGGGCACAGCACCCATGGTGCCTGCCTCAGCACTTGGCCTTTCACACCATGCCCTGCGCCCCAGGGGGGTGGGCGGTGAGACAGGCCAGAGAGTGGCAGGTGGTAGCGCTGGGGGGAACGCTGCGGGAGTCCTGGGCTGGAGGAACAGCTTCAGAGTCTTGTCCCGTCCAGAGGTCCCTGCAGAGAGAGCAGAGAGACAGGATAAGGTGGCAGCATTGTGGGGAATCTTTTGGTGGCAACCTGGAGCTCATAGCAAGCTGGTGGTGGGCATGGAGGGCAGGCGCAGGGAGAGAACCAGCCTAAGCCCTCAGATCAACAGGTTTTAGCAGGCCAAACTAGAGATCCGAATCCTAAGCCCCAGACACGGAAATGGATGGAGGGAAAGAATGAGATCATCCATGCACCATGTCTAAGTCCTGACATTTAATGAAGTATCTGCCCCTTAACAAGTGTCTGTGAAGCACTAGCGATTGTTACCACCCATCCAGCCAAGTTTTCATGAAATCCACCATACCACAGGGCAAGAGGGGACCACAGATGAGCAATTTTTAGCCCAGGCCTGGGAAGCACTCGTGAAGGAAGGGTGGGGTGTGGGCATGGAGGCAGGGGTCATGAATGCCCACCTGAGTGCCCTGCTGGAGAGAGACACCAAGACCGTGGGGAGCGGACCACCCCTGCTGCTGGCCAAGTTATGGCTCGCCAACCCCAGCCTCCCAAGGGCTCCTGAGCTGTCTCTCCCTAGAAGGTCCCAAATCCCACTTCCTAGTCTGGGGACCAGACATCTCCTTGGCTTAGCTGAGCTGCCACCCCCCAGGACAGCAAGGGGGAGGAGAAAGCAAACGAATCCACGCTGACTGAAGAGGTAATAGGACCCTCTGAAGGGGGCAGCACAACTTCACAGGTGAGGAAACTGAGTCTCAGAAGGCTTGGTCATTCACGCAGGCTCACAAAGCCAGTGAGCAGGTGGCTCGGGGACTAAAACCTCACAGCCCGGCTTGAAGGCTAGCCTTGTCCCACCCGCTGGGGTCTGAGGCGGTGCCAACCGGAGCCCACCATTCCCTCCACACCGCTCCTCTGACCACAGGCTCCAGACCTGAAGCTTACTGTCTAAACCACAGGCAGGTATGGGCGTGCTGCGGGGCGTGGGGGGGGGGGCGGCAAAGGGTGCAGCTCCCAACACACAACATGCATGGAGTGGCTGCTGCACCAGAGACCTCACCCCTGGGCCCCCCACCCCACCCCCATGAACTGATAAGGAGCGGGGTGGGAGGGGCCCGGTGAGATAAGTGAGGCCACTGGGCAGGGCAGGGCAGTGGGATGGGGCCACCGCACTCAGGTGGGCCCCCAGCATAGGGAGTGTGGCCGGAGGACAGAAGGGCGGCCCGTTCTCCTCTGACACCCCCACAGACCAGGACTAGGCACTGGGGGCCAGACAGGAGACTGGTGGGGGTGTGAGCGGGGAGCCTTAGCCCAGAGAGCCGTCAAGAAAGTAGGTCAAGTTTTTCTTGGCTTGTGGAGAAATTCCTGTTATAAATTTATAATGGCGTAGCCAGCCTGAGGGGTGGAGGTGGGGGGAGAAGTAGGAGTGGGTGGGGATGCCCAGGGCCCGGGCACTGGGGCCTGCTGCTCTCGCCCAGAGCGGTGCGGGGTGGGGGGCCCGGGAGGCTGCGAGCCTGGGCTGGATAGAGGGCTATTTTCTGTTGCCCCTTTCCACTTCTGTCTGTGCCCAACAAGGCTTCCTTGGGTATGTCTGTCTGTATCTGAATGTCTCTCTCTCTGGGTGTCTCCCCATCTCCCCCCCAGGCTGCGCCTCGGTGCTTGGCACACCCTGGCTGCGGTGCTGCCCCCGCCTGTCTCCTGCCCACCTGGCACACTGCCAGCACTTGTTTACAGAGGCTGGAAAAATCCACTCGCCAGCAGGAGGCCCAAGTGCCCCTGGGGAGGGGAGGAGGCAGGCACAGGAGTGGGCACGCTGAGAGAGGGGCAGCCCTGGGGAGCAGTCCCTGGGGGCAGGCGAACCGGGCCGGGATGTGCACGAATGGGTGTCAGCAGCTGGGGGCCAGGCCAGGCACTGGACGCCAGCAACAGCCACATGCCATGGGCGATCCCTGCCTCAGGCCATAGCTCTGGGGACCCCCTCCTCCCTCCTCCCTGCTACTGCCAGTTGCTACAGGGCACACCTGGGGCAGTGCCAACCTAAGCCACCATATTTATTTTCCCTTCCCCCTCCCCAGCCCAGCCTCAACTCCAAATGTCTCTGTGCACCACCAAGGGCTTGCACGTGCCCGCTGTGGGAGGGGAAGGCTCCCTCTCTGCCCCATCTCTGTGCTGAGTGAATGGTGCCCGAGTGCCTGTCAGTGCGACCCAGACCACACTGGCAGTGGGACCCTGGCAGTGGACAGAGGAAAAAGGCACTGCCCTCACTGCTAAGGGCACCTTCACCTGGCCCCTAGCAAGAAGTTGGAACCCTTGGGAATTCCTGGTCAGCGCCCTAGGGACACTGAGATGACAGAGAGCAAGCAGAGGGCCAGCACTTGGGGAGGTGCACACCATGTGAGCCTGCGTTAGCTGTGGGCAGAGAAAGGTCAGCAGGGAAGGGGGCGTGGGGCAGGGATGCCCACGCTGAAGGGCAGCCTCTCTCTGCCCTCCTCCTGGAGTCCTGCTTAATTCCCCCTGCTCCTTCCTTGCACATTCCCTGCAGAGGCGAGGCTCAGCCCTAAGGAGGTGGAGGGGGTGTAGCTATGAGGTTCTGAGACTAGGCTGGACAGTCCCGGACAGTCGGACAGCGAGACCCACCTGTCAGCTGGCCTGGCCACCCACTCCCTTTTTGTCAGATAAGCGCTGCCGGGTGGCAGTGTGGGCAAGGTGCCCGTGGAGGGGGAAGCATTTCATTAAGCTTAAGTGCTTCTGCAATGGGGGGACAGAGACAAGCGCCCGATGCTGCATCCACAGGCATCGCGCCAGCTTCCCACTGCCAGACTCTCCCACTCTGCAGTCCTGCGGACCCACGGAACATTCCCAAAGGACTCCTGGGGCTGCCGGACCCCTCTACCCCCAGAATCTAGCCCCCAGTTCCAGACACACTATTCTCCTGGGTGTCTGCTCTTGCCCTTGGCCCCACCTGTCTAGGGCCCTAAACTTTGTCCTTAATGCTTTAAAGGAAGCCCAACCCTCCTCCTTGCCAACCACAGAGGGAAAGGCACACTCATAGGGAGGGGGCCCAGAAAAGGGGAGAAAAGGGGGGCAGGCAGGGGTAAAAGAGATTATGGGGGAAGACGGGAAGAAAGATGAGGGGGTAAGAACAAAGAGCTGGGAAGGGACGGAGTAGAGCAGGGGATGCCTATGAAGTATAAGGAAAGGAAGAGAGGCGGCAATGAGGTGGGGCGGGGGATGGGGAGAGATGGATGGGGGAGAGAAGGGTGAGGCAGAGAGAAGGACAGATAAGGGGAGGAGGAGAGAAAAATGGAGGGGGAGACAAAGAAAGAAAGAAAGGTAACAAAGAAAAATGGGTGGGGGGGTTACTTCATGCCCTGCCTAAGTCCCACCCCACGGAGGCTGGGGGAGGGGGTAGTAGAGCTGGTTTCCACGGTGACAGCTGGTTCTTGGTGGCCTGGCATGTGGGCTATTAATAGTGCTGTGGGTAGGTTCACACCTCCCTCTCCCCTTCCCCTTTGCCTACTGCTAGGGTGGGGGGAGATGCTACCCCCACTCCCAATGATCGGGCATGGATGCCCTGATCCCACGCCCCGCTAGCCTAGAAGGGTGATGCAAAGGGGCCCAGGTGGCTACTGTAGCCCAAACATACACACAAGCATGCACAGGCAAACCCAGGCATCTGTGTGCAGACACTGCCGCGGGTGCCAGCGTGGGCTCCCGCGGGCAGCCACAGGCACCAACAGCCCCTGGGAGTCTGGCGAGGGTGGAGGCTGCGGCAGCCACACAAGCCCCCACCATGAGCGGCAGACGCCCCTCAGGGCTGGGGCCTTTTTTCCTCTTCCCCATCCCAACCCCCCTTTCTATCCTCAGGTATGGAGTGAGCAGGACTGCCCCACCCAGCTCACTGCTATCCTAGTGCCAGGAAAGAGAGAAGGCGGGAAGGAAGGTACTAGTTGGCAGGTGTGAGATGGCAGAAGATACACAGACACAGGCTCCGGCTTGGCAAGAGGGAGGGAGGCCTCTCTCCTTGGTGGGCTCTCTCTGGGCCTCCATGAGACAGGGCTGTGAAGCTTAAGGGCAGTGACCCTAAAGTCTGATCTCCAAGCCACTGTGGGACCCCGGAGGCTCAAGAAGGGGAAATGGGGGTGGGGGACCAGACTTTGGAGGGGATCGGATCAACAAAGGATCCTCTGCCCCCAAAGAATAGGACAGGAAACTCCCCCCTGGAGGTCAGAGACAGGAGGACATAAACAGCAGCCTTGACTTGGCCCAGATGCCCAGTGTTAACAACAAAGACCATGCTTCCCCCCAACACAACCTCACCCACCTGCCGCTCTCCTCTCCCTCCTCCCGCCCACCCCAGGCCAGCTCCAATCAGGCATCAAGGTGGTTGCCCAGGTCTAGAGGTCACCCCCATGCCCGGCTCCTTCCCTGCCAACCCAGGGAACTTCGTGTCCCCTGACCCAATTCCCCTGAGGAATGGAGGTGGGAAATCCAAGTAGCCAAGAGAGCAGAGCTAGGAGCACCCCCAGCTGGGCATGGCACATTCTCCCCACCCTCCCCCCAGCAGCCAGGGGTAATCGGAGCTGGGTGCTGGGGCAGCTGAAGGCTGGAGGCATGAATGTCACGGGGCCAAGGCGTTCACTGCAGATGGTATCTGGGCACAGGGCTTGGGGTCCTCCTCTCCCCACTCCCCTCTTCCAAGGAGAGAGGAAGAGGCCATAGAGAGGAATTGTCCCCAAGCCCTGGGGAGCACCGCCCAGGAAGGAAGGAAATGGTGGAAGGGAAAGGCAGGGATGTTCTTCTCTCAGGCACCCCAGGGAGGTGGAAGCTAGCCCCCACTGCGGGAGGGAGGGTGGGAGGGAGAGCGGAGAGGGAGAGAGGAGGGAGGGGGGAGAGGGGGAAAGAGAAGGGGATAGAGGGAGGAGGAGAGCGAAGGAAGGAATGGGGAGGGAGATTAAAAAGTGTGTGTGTGTGTGTGTGTGTGTGTGCATGTGCGCGCGAGCCCGCCTGCAGTTGAGTCTCTGGCACACACACGGACACGTGCAGACACACACACTCACCCCGCATGCGCAGAACGGCGGGCTCGGCGTACCGTTCCACAGATATTCAGAGCCCTCCTCGGCCCACACATGCACAAAACACGCACACATGGGTGCGCGCACAACACGCCCACTCCCTGATGTGTACGAAAACGCCGATAGCCACCAAAGCCTCCTCCCGTCCCCCTGTCCCCGCCCACGTGCCTGGGTAAAAGAGAAAATGAAACAGGCAGCTAAGGCTCTCGGAGCCGAGAGCTCCTCTCTCCCTTGCGGGAGAAGAGGAGGAGGAAGAGGGGGTGGGCTGGGGGCTTGGTCCAGTCATGCTGCACTTTGCTACTTCTGGAGGGTGTGGCTGTGCCTTTGGCCCTAATCTTAAACTCCAGCCCCAGGTCCCCAGTGAGCTTGAATGCTCACTCTCAGTGTGGGGGAGCAACGGTAGCATTTTCTGGGGACCAATAAGTTTCCATCTCGCTCCCCTTGCATACCCAGAGCACTTCTGACCCCTCCCTCTGGACTGCCTCACACAAAGGTATATAAAAGTGAGGTCCCCTTTGGCAGCCCTACCTGGCCTGCCAGGGAGGAAGGCAGCACCACATGTCTGAAAACCATATGCCCTCCACCACACACCAGCCCCAGATGCCTCCGTGCGAGACCCAGAGCTGTCTCTGGTCCCAGAGGCATGTGCATCCCCGCCCTGGAGTGTGCCAGGACCCGGGAGGAGAGGGGAAGCCACAGGCGCTGCTGACCACGCCAGGAAGCAGCCCAGACTGGACACAGGTGCCACACCACGGCCTGCTATTCACCTGCAGTCTGGGTGAGGTGGGCATCACGGTCTCCAAATGACCAAAGCTCAGGCCCAGAGTCAGCAACTGGTGCATGGCAGACACCCAGCCACCAGCTCCCAATCGGTGCTCTTTGTACTGTGATCACACTTGCCTCTCCCCCAAGATCTACAAAAGCCCCCCAAGGACCTCTGCAGCCAGGAGAACTAGAGTTGAGATTGGCTCCCCAGTGGCCGACCACAGGGCATCCCCCCATTGTCCTTGCTACACCTTGAAGGGGAGGAGCTAAATAAAAGGGATTTGTAGGAGAGGAATTTAATCACCAGCTTCACGGAGGGAAAAGGCAACCCAGGGCAGACCCTGGATCTCAAGCCACCACGCCTACCACAGTGATCGTGACTCAGTGCCACCACCCTTCACACTAAATGTCCCCTCCATGCAGAGGTGGGGAATTGGGGTCTGTCAGCCAGGATTGGGCCCTGGTTGATTGGTCAATGGTGCAGCTGGGTTGCTGGCTCACCAGGAGGGAGGAAGGGTGCTATACTCTCCAAGTAAGAAGAGTGAGGGAGGCGAGCCTGCTTTCCTTGTTATTATGCATCCCGTGCTCCCAGTGTTCAGACTTGTCCCAACAGAGACACAGAGATGCCCGAACATCCACGCATGTGCCCCTGACTGGGGAGGTGTGTCCCAGGCTGAAATGCCGAGGGCTCCCTTTAAGAAGCAGCTAGAAGCTTAGGTTGCAAAAACCTCAGGAGCTCCAGGTTGCAAAAACTTGTCAAGGAGAAAATGGTAACATAAAGGCTGAGGGATCTAGAGATTAGGGACCCATGATGCCCACCCCCACACCCTATATCATTCCTGTCACCGCGATGTCTAGGAGCTCCAGTTCTCCACCAAGCTTCCGGGGGGGCCCCAGACCCACCGTCTTCCTCACTGGAACAGCCAACACACACAATGCTTGTCAGCTGCTGGCACTTTTTCAAGCATTTTATATATTGTCATCCTCTGACCCTCACAAACCTGAATGAAGTACATATTATCATCTCCGATTTACAGATAATACAAGAGAGAGGTTAAATTGCTTGCCTAAGGTCGCACAAACGGCAGGTGGCATTTCTAGGATTCAAACCCAGGCAACCTGGCTCCAGAAAAAGCCATGCTCTTAACCATAACCTGCTGGGGGAATGATACCTTGGTCTTTCATCCAGTGATGTGTTCCCTGCGACCCAGCCTCAGTTTCCCCTCAGTAGCAGCTCCTGGATATAATATAAGCACTACCAGGTCTTCCTCACGCAAACAGGCCACAGCTAGAGGGGAGGGGGGCAGAAATGCTGGATGCCCCCTGTTCAGTGTCACTCTTTGGAAGAAGAGTTGCCCATTCTGCCACCCTGGGCTGGAGACTGCACTCACGGGAGAGGACCTCACCCAGCCCTGCACGTAGTCGGGGCAGCTGTACCCTCCAAAACAGGCTGGGCGAAGAGGACACAGCTGTTGGGCATCTCTGAGGGGTGTGGAGAATGGCCACTGTGGGTCCTGCCAACTCCTTATGCTGCCCACGGGGCTGAGCCTCTTCCAGTGGAGGAGTGTGGTGGGAAGCTTCTTGCTGGCGTGGTTGGAGCTCGGTTGCTATGACGCGCACACCCAAGGCTCCCACCTCTCTGGTGTCTCCTGGCTGAGCCTGACGGCCTGAGAGATCAGCATGGGTGCTAGGTGACCCCCTTCCCTACCCCCTCTTCCCAGCCCCCAAAACTCTCTGGCCTGCAGCTGCAGCATTAAGGAAGTGCAGGATGTCCTGAGCGGCCAGCTGAGCCCCCCACCCCCCACCTCAACCTCTCCATGACCCCAGAGGCAGGGCAGGCAGGGACTGAGGGGCGGGGTTTGAGTATTAACAACCGGAAAACTATGAAGAACATCATTGCCAGTTCCCAGCTCTGAGAAAGGAGGTTGTGGCAGAAACAGACAAGAACAGGGGTAGACAGACGGGGGTAGTGACAGGGTGAGAGTTAGAGTCTGGCAGAGAAACAAGGAGAGCAAATCAGACACAGCAAGACAGAGCAACAGGGAGACAGCGTTAGAGAGAAATTCCAAGTCAAAAATACACATCACTCACCCAGACACTCACCAGCATACAGCCTCCCAAGGAAAGCTTCCAAGTTTAGACAGGAGGGCAGAGGTGGAAAAAGGGGCCAGACTCAGGGTGAGAGGCAGGAACTAAGCTGAGGGTGAGGGAACTGCCCCGGGAAAGGCTCAGACAAAGGATCCCAGCAGGGGCAGCTAGATTCCCGCCTCCCATTTGCCTTGAGGGTGGGGATAGAGACCCTACCTCCCCTTCCCCCAGCAGCCAGGATAATCCCAGCTGCTGGAAGTTACTGGACACTGCTTCAGGCCCACGACTCGGCCCTCTGGAACCCCCCTGCCCCTACTCTCTTTGCTCTAGTTTCCCTGAAAAAAAAAAAAAAAAAAAAAAAAAAAGAAGCTGAGCCTTAAGGAAGAAGATAGAAGGAAGCTTAAGGGGAAAAGTCCCCGGCTGTGTGTGCCTCTAGGGGTGTGCCTGACGGCACAGCTGTAGTGTGTGTGTGTCTGGGGCTGTCTAGACACAGCTGTTGGTGTGGACCTGAGCCTTCTGCACCTGAGTCCCTGGGACTGTGTGCAAAGGAGCGCACCTGTGTCTGGAGTTCCCACAGTCAATCAATTACCAAGCAAGTATTTACAGAGCGCTTCCTGTGCTAGGCTCTGGGTGGGATCCAGAGCTCTTGGAGTGATTCTGCCAGGTCTCAAGCTCACCACCCAGTAGGGTGGCATGAGAAGCCAGAGACCGAGACTGTTGTCAGGAATGCATACCTGGCACCGTCCCGCAGGAAAGTCCTTTCACACGAACACATTGAATCTTCCTGGGAGCAGGGTTTGTGTTGTAGACAGAACCTCGGCGATCCACAGTGGGAGTCCAAGGAAATACTTGTTGCTAAGCTGTGTGTACCTGTGTCGATGTACAGCCATGTTTGGGGTTGATGGAGGGTCGGCGACCATCACCGAGATGATGCCTGTGTGACCGGGCTCCTGTGAGCATGTGTGTGTCTGTGAGTGACAGGGTCTTTTGTAATGTGCGGCTGTGTGCAACTGCCCTGTGTTCATGCCTATGTGCCACAGTGACTTTCTCTGTGTGGGTGACGGCAACTCCTCCTTGCCCTCCCGTGTGGCAGCATCTCTGTGTGACCCTGTTCGTGGGTATGTGCGTGGGTCAGTCTCCCGTGGGTGTGTCCCACCCCCTGAGCTCCCTGGTGCAGCAGCAGCCTGCCTCTCCCCTTGTCCCCATGTGGGTGTGTCCAGCGGCTCCTGTCCTTGAGTCTGCCTGGGTGTCCCTGGCTGTGCATGTGGCTGGCTGTGTGGGCATAGCTTGGTGTCTGCATGTCACATTTGCTTTTCCCCTCATCTTGGACAACAGCCCCGTTCATTCCTTCCCCCTCCTGGGGCCAGAGCCATCATTGAAGAGTGGGTTCCCATCCCCCCCGGCTTTCTTTCTGGGACCTCCACCCTGGAAACGGTGGCTCTCTCCACTGCCCCTATCATTCCCTCTTCCCGGGCCTTTCTTTCACACTGGACAAGGGAGGGCCGCAGGCAGAGAAGGGGCACCAGAGGAGACACGTTGCAAGGGGAGGGAATAAAGGGGGGCACGCACAACACGGGTCCATTCCTCCCTCTCCTCCCCAACCACCCCAGCTTGCAACCGTCCTAATCATCTAGGGACCCTCAAATACACTCCCCCCACCCCCAGCCACGTTTTTGCAATTAGGAGTGTTGCAACCAGAGAGCCATGCTCAACTGGGGAGGCGGGTGAAGTTGTGTGTGTGGGGGGGACGTCCCTCTCCCCGGGCCCGTGCAAGCGCATTCCCCACCCTACTCACACTGCCCTCCGCAGCTGGAGGCAGCTTTGCAAAGGCCACTCGGCCTCGGCCTCCGAGGCTAGGGGTGGGGGCTGGGGGGCAGGCCTCCAGCGCACCGTAAGTAAACAAACAGCGGCGCGGCGGGCGGGGGCGCTCGGGCGGCGGGCAGCGGGGCCGGGCCCGGGAATGCGCAGCAGACGGGCCGGACAGAGGCCAGGCAGGCCCTCGAGGGGGAGGCCTGGACGCCATCTCCGCTGGCAAACCCCGGGGCCCACCGACCTCCTAGCAACACCTCCCTTCCCAAGGGCGTAAGTTGCAAGCTCCGGGGCTGTGACAGGGTCGCCGGGGCGTCGGGGCAGGCAGAGGTTGACGGCGGGTACCCCCCCGGGCGCCCCCAGAACGCGGGGGAGCTGGCGAGAGAGCCCCACGGCTTTGCATAATCAATCGCAAGGTATTTGCATATTAATGCCCCCTCGCTCCCTCCCCCTTACCTCGGCGTGGTGCGCTGGACCGGGCTGGGCAGCTACGCGGGGTCTCAGCGCCCCGTGCGGGGGGCGTCCATGGGGGGCCGGTGGGGCCCGGGCCGCCCGCCTCCTGCGCCCGGGTGTGAGTGCGAGTGAGCGCGGGGGGGCGGGGGGCGAGTGTGGCGGCCCCGCGGCTCCTCCGGCAGAGGCGGCGGCCGCTCTTGGCTCCTCCCTTCCCCGCCCCGCTCCGGCTGGGGCTCTCGCTCGGCGCGCCCGGCCGGCTCGCGGCTGCTCCCTGCAGGCCGCCTCGCCGCCGCGGGCCCGCGCGGCCCCCGCTCCCCGCCGCGCCCCGGGACCCGGGCCAGCCGGCCGCCCGGCCGCCCCTCGCCGCCCCCGCCCCCACCCCGCTCGGACTCGCCCTCCCCACGCGAGGCGTCTCAGGCAGGAGTGGAACTTGGTGCCATATTTTCAAAGAAATGTCATTTAAAAAATAGTCTTTGCTTCCCGAAAGAGTGGGGGGTTGGGGGTTTTGCATTGTGGGAATGGAAATGGGGGTGTCGACGAGCCTCCTGCACCTTCGCTAAGTCGCGAGAAAGATTAAATACCAAACCCTTGGGTGTCCGGAGTTTGTCTCCGCATTCGGCCCTTCTCGGCCGGTAACTCACTGTGTGACCTTGAGCAGATCACCCCCGCTCTCGGGGGCAGAGCCTCCTCGACCTTAAACCGCGAGGGTCGGGCAGGTGGTCTCTGAGGTCGTTTTAACTTCAATCACCTTATGTTTTTCATCCTTTTGGAGTTTTATTTCCCATTATTTCCCTTCCCCTCATTACTAAGGTCCGCTGCCTCCCCTTTCAAATGTCGCCCTCTTCCCATACAGGCTCTTTCCATTCACTGTCACCAGCCATTTCCTCAAGGACCCGGTCCCCGTTGCTGAGCTGGGGAGGGGGCGAGGCTTGCCCCACACCCCAGCTCTCAGCGGCACAGAGTCGGGGTTTCCTCCCGTGTTTGCCCTGCCGGAGTCCAGCCGGTGCCAGGGCCAATCTAAGGACGAGGGCCGGCGGCCCGAAATGGACCCCCTGCCCCACGCGAGAGGGCTCCACTGCCTCCCCGCACCACCCACGCACGCACACACGCCTGCATTCGTGGACATAGATCCAACCCAGTGACGCCAGAGCCCCTTTCATCTCGGGATCTCCCAGCACCAGGCAGAGCCCTAATTACCCCAGCACCCCCCCTGGCCCCACCGGTTCCCCTTAAGTCATTAGCCCAGTTTTACCAGCGGGGGCCACAGCCTTCCCACGGCTTTCAGGGCGGGGCATTATCTCCACGGTCAGCCCTCGGAGGTGTGTGTGTCAAGGAGAGCTGTTGTTCTAATCTCCCAGTTTACCCTGAAGGAAAAATCACTTGCTGGCCGTGGGGTTCTGACCAACAGCCTGAGTCGGGCAGTCCGCGGCTCATCTCAGTCGCGGCCACCTGCCTCCTCAGCTCTGCTGCAGCCACGGCTCTTACAGGGGGCTCTGGGGCTTGCAGTGCATGGGGGCGGGGAGGGTACCTCTCCTGGGGCCCACCGGGGCCTTGGGGGATGAGAAGGGTAGCCGGGATGAAGGCCAGGGGCTACAGAGTGAGGAGGTGGACACGAGGGTGTGCAGTGGGTGAAGGGAGCCTGCAGTGTGCAGTGGGCTGCAGGGTGCGGAGTCAGCATGCAGCAAGTGAACCTGTGGGCCGGGCCTGGGCTCACAGTGGACATGCAACAGCTGCACCGTGCGGAGTCAGGGCAGTGTCCAGTGTGCGGTGTGCTGAGGGTGGCTGTGTGACATCACCGCCACCTCCTCAGTGATATCGGGTTTGGCTGAAACCCTTAGGAGCAACTCTGCAGCATGCATTGTTCCGGGAGCACGCTCTACCCTGTACAGAAATAGTCTCCTGGCGCAGGGCTGCCGGAGGCCTTGGGAGAGGATCCCTGAGCATGGCACACATCTGGGAGGTGGGCTGGTCTACACTGTGCATCAGTCAGGAAGGCCTCGCCGTCACCCGGGTTAGGGAAGGGTGGCGGGGTCAGGAGGGGAGATGGAAACGCTGTGGTTTTGTCCCTCCTCCATTCTGACTTCCCGGCACCTGTCTGTGCTGAAAGGCCTTGAAGACTTGGGTGGGGAAGACTTTTTGAAATCCTGGACCCAGAGCTACAGAAAGTGAAGTGCCTCCTGACCCACCTCTCCGCCGCCCCCCCCCCCCCAGAAGCAGAGTGGGGCACACTGAACTCAGAGACGCCATTCCTCCTCCTCACCTCACTCCCTTCCCTTGGCTCCCAATATGGGCTGCTGACAGACCTGGGCAAGGTCGAAAGGAAGGGCACGCTGCCTCCAAAGCAGGCATCTTACCAGATGCCAGGGTCTAGCCCAGGTCTGAGCGTCCAGCCCCTGCCCTTGTGTGGTGGCATCGCCCTTTCCGCCCCTCTTACCCTGCCTACCCCCAGTTCTGGAAGCTTCCAGCTCTTCTCAGTCAGTTCCTCCCCAGCTCCTGTTCTCTACCTGCCATGAAGCCCCATCCGGCTGTCTCTTCCCATCCCCCACCTCTGCTTCAGGGCTGAGTCTGGGGGAGAACAGGAGGGTGGGGCACAGTGGTGAAGGATAGAGACCCTCCAAGGGTATATGCCTGACAGCCCCCTCCCTCTTAGATTTTGGTTGCCATGGAGGCAGCAAGAACAGCCTGTTCTCTGGGCTCCCATGGCAGCAGCTGTGCCCAGGCCCCTCCCTCTTTTCCTTCTTGCTTCCCTCCCTCCCAGACTGTTGCTAGGAAGCACCCCAAGATTTCCTGAGGGTCACACCCCTAGAAACCAGGGATCCAGATAGCTTTCTGAAGAGCTTCCCCCCAAAGCCGTGAAGTCAAAACCCCCACACAACATCCTCCACCCCGGCTAGAAGCCCCAGAGTATTTGGGGGGACAAGGGATAGGCCCTCACCAGTCTGCCCTGGGAGGAGCTCTGTGGCCTGGGCCTCAGCAGTCCCCCCACCCCACCTCATCTTGACCTCCTGGGTGATGGCAGCAAGTGATGAGGTGTCCAGCAGAGACCCCCTGACTCTACAGACACAGCCCCACTTTCGGGGAGTCCTGGGAAGACCACCAGCTAAAAGAACCTAAAACCCAGGTGTTTCTCCCCCTTAGTGACCTTTCAATCAAGAAAAGATGGTGAAAATAGAGGAAAGGAGGTGGGGACGGTCTGTGGGAGTTGGAGATCAAGCAGTGGAGATGAGACTGGGAAATGAGCAAACAGTTGCACTGCTAAAAGTGAAGTGGGCACTTAATGCCCCTGTCAATCACCTTTGTCCCATCCGCTGCCCTGGTGATGGGTCCCGGACAAGGGAGCCAGGAAAGGAACTCAGTCTAGGCTGAGCCTTGCCTGCACCGAACTCAGGCAAGAAGTGAAAAAAGCAGCTTACACCTTCTCCAGGTTGTGTTGCAGCGTTCCTCCTGCTTTTTATTCGTCTGTTTGATACATTTTTTTTGAGCACTTAATATGTGCCAGGTATTGGATCCCTAAAGTTCCCAGCTCCTGGTTTCACTCCCGTACAGTACACAGCCCTCATCTCATCTTTGCCAGGAGAGAGACGGGGAGGGGGGGGCCAGTCTCCCTACACCGCAGCCTCCCCCTCCAGTTAAAGGCTGGTGTGGAGGCCAAGGGTACAGAGTGGCTCTTAGGGCCTGGCTGGGGGTGCGGTGCCTGGAATGGCAGGCTGGCCACACAACCCCTCTGTCCTGTGCACTGAGAGTGTGGAGAGGAGACTGATGGTTGGAATTCTTGCCTTTTGCTGTTTTGGTTGGTCTTTTTCTGGACCTCTCGTGAGGTCAGTGGGAAGAGAGACAGAGAACTGTGGGGGATCCAGGAGCAGTCCTGAGGTAGGCCCACCTTGTAGGTCTCTCCCCATCCCCTCCTCTCAGCTACATGGAAAACATGGATTTTGATGTGGGTACGAGTGGGGGCAGATGGAGCCAGCTGTGTATGGGTGTATGGGAAGGACTCGCTTGCTTTCCCCATCCACCTGCTGCCAATTAACTCCTCATAGTGTGGGCGCCCAGACCAGCTTCCAAAGGAACATATTCCGTTAGCGGAAGGGAGTGACTCTGTTCCCCTGTCTTACATGCTTACCAAGTATTTCACCGTTTCTGGGCCCAGACTCGCATCCCTTTTTCTTATACTCCCTTCTAGCTTAGATAAGGAATGTTTCTGCCCCTTTGGTTACTCCAAACCCCGTTCCTCACAGCTTCTTGCCCTGCCCCAAGCCCCCATTCCAGCCTAGCTCCTTTGCTGCTGCTGCTCCAGTGTTGCCATGTCACTTGGCCTGACTGGCTTCCACCGGCCCCTCTCCTCTCCAGCCACACCCCTTCCCCAGGCAGACCAGCCAGCGAGATGAAGAGACTGGGGGTTCCGGCCTGAGAGAGCAGAGGTGGGGGCTCAGCCTCTATCAGGGAGAAGAAACAGAGAGCAAAAGAAAGTGGAGTCAGAGGAGTTTGGGGGAGGGGCTGTGTGAGGAGAGGGCTTCCCTTGCACAACCAGAGGGGACGTCAGCATCTGTTCTCTGACTCGTTGGAGGATAATCGTAGAGTCCCATCCTTGGGGGGGGGGGAGTCAGAGAGCTGGTGGGGGGGGGTCCTGGGAAGCCACTGGGAAGCAGAGGGAAGAGGTGGCACATGGGATGGCTATCTCTGATCTTTACAGACTAGGAGTCACGAAAAAGCAGAGACGCTGAAGATAGCCCCTTCCCAGAACTAAAGGAGTCCAGTCCTTGGGGAAACCCTGCCAAGCCCAGAGAAAGGGCTGCTGGTGAGAGGTGGGGGGACAGGCGAGGCAGATGGCATGACTACAAGAGCCACCTTGCTACTGGGAAGTGGGAAGGAGCGCCCCCGCCCCCCCACGCCCCGATCTGCCAGGCTTCCTGCCAGAGGGAGGTGGTGTGAGCTTAAAATATTACTACCTTCAGGGCCCAAATATCCCCCACTTCCATGTGGACTGGACCCAGCACTCACTGAGTCAGGAACAGTCACAAAGTCGACAGCATCTCTCCTAGAGGGGCGGGAGAGGCTATGAGGGATGGAGAAGGAGCAGCAGGATCCAGAAATGGCTCAAGGTGGGGGGCCTTAGGCTGCAGTAACAGGAAAGGAACGAGAGGAGGGGTGGGGGGGCAGGCAGAGGCTGAGTGAGGGCCCTGGGAGAGACAGGGATGCCAGGTACTTGAGAGACTGCAGAGAAACGGGGTTTGTGGCCATCTCAAGCGAGTGTGTGTGTGGCTCGTGGGGGGAGGGCTGGAGGTTAAGTGTGAGGAGTCTGGGTTCTCTCTCCTTCCTGCTTCAGAGGCTTTGGCTACACATATTTGGCAGCTGTTTTGTATAAACACTGTTCCCCAATGGTACCACTTGGGCAGGCACAAAAGGGAGCAGAATAGAGGGGGTGTGGATGGATGGGTGGATTAGGAGGGAGAATCTCTGCCATAAGCAGTCATGCCCTTAGAGGGATGTGATCTGGCCTTCTTCCAGCGGCACTTTTCTCTTCAGAGCAGGAGTCCTTGTCTCCCTGTTTAACTACGTTCCAGATACCCAGGGTCCTGTTATGTCTTGTCCTAAGGGCCACAAGTTTGCTTCCCAAGCCTGAGTGGGCTGCTCTCCCAGATTCATTTCCCTGAGGACTCATTTTGCCACTGAAAGGGTGACCAAAGGGTGGTTGTTGGGAAATTTGGAGCTTGTACTAGGGAATCAAGCACCTCAGGGTATGGGATGGGGAGCTGAAAATAGCAGTGGCAGCGGGATGCTAGCTGGGGCCTCCATATTGGCTCTTGTCCCTGGTTGTAAAGGTGAGGGCCAAACCGTCCACACAGGACAGGGCAAGGATGAGAGCCGTGTAGAGGCACACTCACATATTGGGTCAGAAGTGGTTAGCATTTGCTTCTGGGCCTCTCACTGTCAGGGAAAGAAGGGCCAATGGCTGAAGCCATGGACGTAATTATCTACCATATGGTTCCAGAGGATAAGCGAGACATCACATTGTTTTTAATAAACTTTAAAAAAAAAGAATAGTTTTAAAAATAAAGGAAAAATTTTGAAGAGAGTAGAGGGTCCCCACTGCTCTAAACACAATTTTCCCATTTGTTAACATCTTACATTAGTATAGTACATTTGTTACAATTACGATTGTGACCATCGAACCAGTATCGATACATTGTTATTTACTAATGTCCATTCCTTAGTCAGATTTCTTAGCTTTCACCTCTTGTGCTGCTTCTGCTACAGGATAGCAGATCATATCGAGGATACAGAGTTACCTTTACTCATCGCGTCTCCTAAGGCCCTCTTGGCTACAACAGTTTCTCAGACTTTTTAAAAAAACTTTGATAACTTAACCTCCGTCTTCTCCTTACTTTCCTCCTGCTCATCCCAGTACTCAAGCAGTCTGCATGGCCAGATTTGGGGGAGCCTACCGGGTTTGGGGGGGGGGGTGAAGTGGTGGTGTGTGTAAAACTGACGAAGCCTCGCTGTAGCCTCAGGAACATCGGTGTGGAAATGAGAAGAGCTCTGGTAGACCCACAGGTTTAGAAAATACATTTTTTTTTTTTTTTTAAAGAAAAGGGCTAGGAAAGAGGACACCCATTGCTACACGAACGCCACCCCTCGCTGTGCCGACTAACTAGTGGGTAATGAAGGAATGCGAGAATAGGATTTGAAGGCGAGCGGCAGTGACGTCATTGCGCGACGCCGGACCGCGAGCGGATTTACGAGAGGCCTCCCCGCTCACCCCACGGTGTCCCTTGATACCTTAGCTCCTACAGAGTCCTTCCGGAAGGAGAGAAATAGTGTAGGCTCTACTCATCTTCCTCGCTAGCTCAGTCCAACAAACTACATTTCCCAGAGGACATCGTGGCGTGACCTATCTCTTGCGGCATTGGTTCATGTACGTTACTTCCAGCCAATAGGAAAGTAGCTCTTTGATAAGTGCCAAAATGGCGATCCCTAGGACCTAGAACTAAATTGTCCGGTAGGTTTAAATTGGGGAGGTGGTGGATGAGATGGGAAATTACAGTTTCAGGGTTGGGGAAGGTGGAGGAAATGGGGGGGGGGCGATCTAGATTTGGGGTGGTGGTGCCTGAGGGACGGAGCCAGAGCTAAGGGAGTAATTAACCAGAACCGACTTAACCCTTTGCTGTCACCTTCTACTCGCCTTTTTGGCACCCTCTTCAATGCTCCAGTTTAAGAAAGGGTGGTTCAGCCCTGGCTGGTGTAGCTCAGTGGATTGAGCGCGGGCATGCGAATCAGAGGATCGCGAATTGATTCCCAGTCAGGGCACATGCCTGGGATGCAGGCTAGTTCCCAGCAGGGGACACACAAGCGGCTCTCCTTCTCTCCTTCCCTTCAGACAAATAAGAAAATAAAAGCTTAAAAAAAAAGTCTCATTAAAAAGAAAAAAAAGAAAGGGTGCTTCAGGAGGGAAGAACCTGGCGGGATCCTCACTAAGCCCCTTCCCCCTTTATTCCTTTTCATTTCTTCTTTTTTTTTTTAAAGAGGGAGAAAGAGAGGGAGAGAAACATCAATGTGTGGTTGCCTCTTGCCCCAACTGGGAATGGAACTCACGACCCTTGGTTTGAAGTCGTGCCCTCAATTCACTGAGCCGCAGCAGCCGGGGCTCCTTTTTAGTTCCAATGTCTCCCTTAAGTCTTCTTGTATTTTCTCCATTCCATATAATGCTGCCCTCCCTTGTTCTTTTTCTGAGAATCTCCTCTTCCCTTCTCATCTTCATTTTTCCCACCTCACAGCTGACTGCCACCAGTCCCGCCTCCTCAGCGTGAAATCATGAAGGTGGTGAACTTGAAGCAAGCCCTTTTGCAAGCCTGGAAGGAGCGATGGAGCGACTACCAGTGGGCAGTCAACATGAAGAGATTCTTTCCAAAAGGAGCCACCTGGGACATTCTCAACCTAGCAGGTCTCAAGTGAAGTAGGAAGGAAGGATGAGAGAGCTAAACCCAGGAAAGTTGTAACCACACAGTCTTACTTTGTTATTCCCCCTGCAGAAGCACTACTGGAGCAGGCCATGATTGGACCTTCCCCCAATCCTCTCATCCTGTCCTACCTGAAGTATGCCATTAGTTCCCAGGTAAACGGCCCTATCTATTCCAGAGAGTGAGGGTTTGGAGGTAAACGATTTGGAATACAGCTGTCAGCACATACCGTCTAGGCGAATTTGTTTGAACACCTCACTTTTCTGAGCCTCAGCTTTCACATGAAAAGAATAATACTTCATACTTACCTGGCTGGGGAGATACCATGATCAAGAAGGTGGTTTTCCCAGGACGAGGCTTGCCCATGGCACTCGGGATGTGCTGACCCCTGTGGTTTCCCCAAATGCAGGGAACTTGACTGCGTAATTTGTGACAGTGGGGGACTGCGTTTGCACATGCCCCTTGGAAAAAATAATACTTCATCGGTGGCAATGAATATTCCATTGATTTATTCTACAGTAAATATGCATGCTTGTATGTGCTGGACAGTGCTGTAGGCTCTGGGAATATGGCTGTGTACAGGATCTAGTCCCAGGACCCAAAGTATTTAGTGGGTGGTAGAGATTAAATAAGCAGTCACAGGATAGGCTTATAACAAATGCCAGAACAGAGTACCAGGGGACTACGTGAGAGGGACACCTAATCCATTCTGAACAATCAGGGCGGGAGATGTGATGTTCAGACCAGGACATGAATGTTGAATAGGTGTTAGCCAGGCAGATTGATGAGAGTGTACAGAGTAGAGAGAAAAGCATATGCAAAGGCTGGGAGACAACGATCACATGATGTTGTTTAGGAGCTGAAAATAATTTGGTATGGTTAGGGAAGCAGTTGTCATCTCAGGACCTGTTGTTTATTTTTTTAAGCTTTTATTTATTTGTTTTTAGAGATAGAGGAAAGGAGGGTGAAAGAGAAGGAGAGAAACATTGATGTGTGAGAGAAACATCAGTCGCTTGCCCCTCACATGCCCCCAACTAGGGACCTGGTCTATAACCCAGGCATGTGCCCTGATTGGAAACTGACCTGGTGACCTTTCGGTTCGCAAGCCACACTGAGCTACACCAGCCAGGGCTGTATACACTCTTTTATTAAATATAAATGTTTTTAAGCTTCATCTATATTGTTGTGTATGTCAGTAGTTCATTCTTCTGTGAAATTGCTGAGTACTATCCCTCAGTTGGTACATAGTTCTTGTGCTTCCTTTTTTTCCTTAGATCATGTCTGCTTTCCATATTAGCACATATTTATCTCCCTATTCTTTTTAATTGCTGCATAATGTTCCATTCATACTGTAATTTGGTTGTTTTTCAATTTTTTTTATTGCTGTAATTAATATTTAACTGAGCATCTTTATACTTTTCTGCGTATCTGGGAATATTTCCCTAGTTTAGATACCTAGAAATGGAATTGCTGGCTTGAAGAGTACCACCTATTAAATTGTAGATCCTGCAAATTGCTCTCCCAAAAGGGTCATCTCAGTTTACACTCCCCTCCATAGTGTTTGACAGTATTTTTACACACCTTTGCCAGTGCTGGATAGAATCTTACATTTTTTTTTCCAGAGAAGCAAAAAATAACATCACGCTGTATTATGCATTTCCATGACTGTGATATTGAGCATATTTTTATATGCATATCTTCTGTGAGTTACTTACGTATACCATTTGCCCATTTTTCTATTGTTCCATTGTTTTCTTTTCTTTTTTTTTCATGTCAGATGGGTAATGTGCCGATATCGTAACAAGGTTTGTGGGAGGCACATGTCACACAGGAGGGTGAACACCCAATCATCACGCTTATGAACTACAAAAGGATCTCTCTTTTTTTTTTTTTTGGTTACACCTTTGTTGAGATATAAATCATGTACTATATACGCAGTTTACCCATTTAAGGTATGACTCACTAGCTTTTAGAATATTTAGAGTTGTACAGCCATCACCAGAATTAGTTTGGAACATTATCAAATGTGCTGATTTTCTTGCTGATTTTTTTTTCAAATTTATCTTTAGAGGGGAAAGGAAGGAGAGAGGAGGAGAAACATCAATGTATGGTTGCCTTTCGTGCGTCCCCTGCTGGGAACTGGCCTGCAGGGAACTGGCCTGCAACCCAGGCATGTGCCCTGACTGGGAACTGAACTGCGATTGTCTGGTTCGCAGGCCCGCCCTCAATCCACTGAGCTACACCAGCCAGGGCTTCTTGCTGATTTTTAAGTGTCTTTTAATATAATCTATTTTGTAATCATTATCTGTTATGTATATTTTAAACTTTCTAACACTTTTTTTTAACTTTGTGATTTTTATTTTCTTGGCCTGCAGAAGTTTTTAATGTTTTTGTTGCAAGATTTAACCACTTCTTTTCCTGTGTGGCTTTTTTCTTACTTAAGGAGTTGCCTGCTCCAAAGATCAAAATATATTCATTCTCTAATTTCTGCCAGGACTTCACTTTTAGTTTTTACTTTTTTGTTTTTTCTGTTTTTTAAATATATTTTTATCGATTATGCTATTATAACTGTCCCAATTTTTCCTCCCTTGCCCCCCTCCACCTGATAACCCCCATCCCCTTCAGCAGTCCCCCCCTTAGTTCATGACCATGTGTCATGCATGTAAGTTCTTTGGCTTCTCCATTTTCTACAGTGTTTTTAACACCCCCCTGTCTGTTTTGTACCTACCAATTTGTACTTAATCTCTGCACCTTTTCCCCAGTTCTCCCCTTCCCCCCTCCCCTCTCCTGATAACCCTCCAAATGATCTCCTTTTCTATTATATTATTCTGTTTCTGTTCTGCTTGTTTGATTAGTTTGTTTTTTATATTCAGTTGATAGTTGTGAATTTATTGCCATTTTAATGTTCATAGCTTTGATCTTTGTCTTTTCTTTTTTTCCAATATTTTATTTATTTATTTTTAGAGAGAGGGGAAGGGAGGGAGAAAGAGAGGGAAAGAAACATCGATGTGTGAGAGATACATCAATAGGTTGCCTCTTGCATGTCTCCAGCTGGGGACCTGGCCTGCAACCCAGGAATCGAACAGGCAACCTTTCTGTTTGTAGGCTGGCACTCAGTTCACTGAGCCACACCAATGAGGGCCTTGGCATTCTAATATTTCATTGATATCTTTGTCTTTTCTTGCATCAGTTCTTTACTTTTTCAGTTACTATACCTTTATAGTATGTTTGCTATCTGGGCAAGTCTTCCTATAGTTCTATGTTTCAAAAATTTCTTGAGTGTTTTTAGGCATTTTCATTTCCATACAAATTTTAGAATCAACTTCTTGAGTTCCTTTTAAAATCCTATTACATTTTGATTGGAATTTCTTTGACTTTGTAGATTTGGGGAATTTGTGGATTAACTTTATTTTATTTCTTTATTTTTAGGCAGAGGTGAAGGGAGGAAGAAAGAGAGGGAGAGAAACATCAATGCGTGGTTGCTTATCACGTGCCCTCAACCAGGGACCTGGCCTGCAACCCAGGCATGTGCCCCGACTGGAAATCGAACGAGTGGCCTTTTTTGGTTTGCAGGCTAGCACTCAATCCACTGAGCCACTCCAGCCAGGGCTATTTATTTATTTTTTTAAAAGATTTTATTTATTTCTTTTTAGAGAGAGGGGAGGGGGGAAGAGAGGGAGAGAAACATTGATGTGAAAGAGAAACATAGATTGACTGCCTCTCATACACCCTTAGCCAGGGACCTGGCTGCAACCCAGTGTGTGCCCTGACCAGGAATCGAACTGGCAACCCTTTGGTTTGCAGGACGATGCCCAATCCATTGAGCCACATCCATCAGGGCTATGGATTAACTTTAGAAAAATCACTCTGGTTGTAGTTTGAAGAATGAGTTTGGAGGAAAGTAAGACAGAAGGCAAGGAGACCATTTAGTCTGGCATATTTTTTCTATAAAGGACCAGATAGTAGATACTTTTTGTTTTGCAGGCTATATGTGTCTGTCACCACTAATCTGTCATTATAGCTTGAAAGCTGATGTGTATGTAAACAAGTGGACATGCCTGTGTTCTGATAAAACTTTATTTACAGTAAAAAGGTGAGAAGCCAGATTTGGCTTGTAAGCCATAGCTTTCCGATCTCTGATTTAGGCCATTGCAGTGATTGAGGTAAAAGATGATACTAGCATAAAATTGGGCAGTGGCAGAAGAAAAAAAAAAAAGGTGGATTCAAGAACAATTTAGGAGGTGGCATTGAGAGGACTGGTGATTAACTGGATGAGAGGCATGAGAGAGGGAGAAATCCAAGCTGGTGTCTTCAGTTTCTGGTTTGGAGGGCTGGCTGAATGATGGGATCGTAAGAAGACAGTAGGATTAGAGTGGGACTGTCGTTAGGGTTGGCATGCAGATGTGGAGTGGAGATGGCACGTTTGATTTGGCCTCCTTATATTTAAGGTGTCTCCGTGGGCTATCAGAGAGGATACTCAGTAGGCAGTTGAATATACATGTCTGGAACTCATAAGCAGAGGCCCAGACTAGAGCTGTGGATTTAGGAGTGTTCATCTACAGGTGGAAATTGAAACTATGGACCTGGGCGAGAGTGCCCAGAGAGCATGGAGAATAAGCAAGGAAGGGAGGGACCCAAGCCAGATTCCTGAGGAACCAATCACATTTAAGGAACACATACAGGAAAAGAATTCCTTAGAGAAGTCTGAAAAGGAGCCAGTGAGGAAAGAAGAAAAGAAAAGCAGGAGAGGGTGGTACCAAGCAAAGCCCCAGCCCTGGCTGGTGTGGCTCAGTAGACTGAGTATTGACCTGCAAACCAAAGGGTCACCGTTTCAATTCCTAGTGAGGACACATGCCTGGGTTGTCCCCAGTGGGGGGGGGGGGGTTACTCAAGAGACAACCAACCACACATTGGTGCTTCTCTCCCTCTCTTTCTCCCTCCATTCCTGTCTAAAAATAAATTTTAAAAAAATTTTTTTAAGAAAAGCACCAGGAGGAAGGAGAGGACTGAAGAATGAGGAGGTGTTTCTCGGTGTTTGATACCGTTGGGAAGTCAGTGAAATCAGAACTGAGAACTGCCCATGGGGTTCAACAAGAGTTTGCTGATGAGCTTAATGAGAGGATTCCTGCAGTGGGAAGGACAAGTGATTGGAACGGGTAGACCTGCCGACGGGAGGTGGGAGGTGGACTCATTGAGTGTAGAAAACTTATGCCTGCGGGAGCAGGAGGGAGGGTGATGGTCGGAAATGTGGGGTCTGCAGGAAGTTCCTTTAAAAATAGAAGAATCTTGAGATGTATAAACACTGCTGGGAAAAGCAAGAAGGAGAAAGGCTGAAGTTAACAGTGAGAAATAAACAAACATGAAAGACTTTTCGTGACTTAGGAAGTGCTATGCAAAATTAGTAATTTATTTTTCCTTCGGAGTCAAGAGGCTCTTTTGTCTGGGGCTGTGCATGGAGAGGGCACTTCAGAGCAGTGGGAGTGTTGAATGCAGAGAGCGGAGAAGATTGGAGAGCAGCCTCGGACCCGTCTGAGCTAGCCAGGTGCTCGGGGGGTCGCACAGACGCTCCCCGCCTCAGGCTGCTGGGAGTTCCAGCTCCTGAGTTGTTGGATGTATTAAGATTGGAATAGGTCAGATCCTGCTGTGAAAAACTGTTCACCGTGTGGAAAGTATTTTTAGGTCTCGAGTAGAATTGCTTTATTGATACTGTTAGCAAAAATTTACTGAACAGAATTCTGACTTTGGAGACCGTATAAAAGTATTATACCTAATGACATCCTTCAGAACATACAGAATTGGGGTTTTCTCTTCCGGTAGTTTGGGGTCCGTTTGTAGTGGGAACATCCAGCTCCCCCTTCAGGTTGGTATCCACAAAGGTTTAGTTCTCTGCCAAGCCCTTGCTATGGGGACGTCAGTTATAAATAAACAAACACTTGCCTGGAACGCTGTGGTCATCTTGCCCAGGCAAGCTCCCAACTTTCTGATTGCCGTGAGACACCAGCGCTGTCTTCACAGTCATCCTGCTGAGGGTGGCACTGACCACTGATTGTGTGTGTGCGTCTTCTGCGTGTCCAGCACCTGTTTATCTAAGAATATTGAATATGTCTGAACAGAGAGCAGTCGGTCCACTTGGTGGGGAAACTAGACGTGGAAGGTCTTGCCATGTGTGTGAAATTCACTGTGCTAATAAGGTCATTGAGGTGAATGTAGCTTTCTTAAATCTTTGGAAATTTTTATTTTTCTAGTGAAGACAACCCACGAGGCAGGTAATTAAGTCTTTTGACAGCTTCTGTCATTGTGGTCTGCTTTTTTATTTGGTGTATTTTGTCACTGGTTTTGAGTATATGATTTTGACTTTTTTTTTTAAAGATCTATTTATTTATTTTTAGAGAGAGGGGAAGGGAGGAAGAAAGAGAGGGAGAGAAACATTGGTGTGCGAGAGAAACATGGATCACTTGCCTCTCACATGCTCCCAACTGGAGACCTGGTCTACCACCCAGGCGTTTGCTCTGACTGGGAATCGATTTGGCGACCTTTCCGTTTTCAGGATGACATCTAGTCCACCGAGTCACATGAGTCAGGGCTGTGACTATTTTCTGTGGTGTTATTCATATTTTATCAGCATGCTATAATTATCATTTAAAAAATATGACAGCTTTAAAGACTTTCCGTAGAGCTTAATTTTATTCAGGACACATTATTTCTTTTGAACTCTATTTCTAATTTTATGGTGATAAGTAGGTTTTACTAATAGAAATTAGTTTTAAGGTAATTTTTTCCCACAATGTTACTAGAATTCATCAATCCAAAGCAATAAAAACTTACAGAGGACACACCATCTGCTCAGCCCCAGGCTGGGTTCTAGAGAAGCAGATAGAAATTTATCACTTTCTATTCTTAGGAAGCTTACTTTTCAGGTGGAATTTCCCAAAATGTATTTTGGAAATATTAGTTAAATGAGATTCCTTGGTCAGATGAGTTTGTAAAGTATTGCTTGCTTCATCCCCAGTCATCTGACAGATTCACGTTTTATACATGAATATTGTGGTTCAGAGAAGTCCTGCAGTAAAGCAAGCTCTTGACTGAAAGAACCCTTACTTTAAAGAATGCTCTTTATATATGTTTAATCCAGGTTTTTCCAAACCTATATCACACGGAAGCTGTGTGTGTGTATCAGATTTCTGAGCACCTTCAGGACCCTTTGGAACAGCAGCACCCAGTAGGACTTCTACAGCAACAGGAATGTTCTGTATCTTCACTGTCTCATACAGTCGCCTTTAGCCACATGGCGGCCACTGAGCGCTTGCAGTGTGGCTAGTCTGATGAAGGAACTGGATTTTCCGTTTTGTTTAACTTTAAAAAGCCACCATGTGACCAGTGGCGTTTCTATTGCACAGTGCAGCTTCGGGAGATGCTTTGGGAAATGCTGATCTAAGGGTGTGTTTTTTACTTACTCATACAAACATTATTGCCAAGTTCATGGGTCACTGAGTACAAGTATCGTTGTCCTCGAGGAGCGCCTCATTTGGTGGGCACAGCCGGTAGCAGCTCTGCTGTGATGGACACAGACGATTGCTTGGAGCACGGAGGGAGGATTTCAGCATTGGGTGAGGGGTTGGGGTTACTGGAGAAGGTGTCCTGGAGGAGTCCTGGAGAATATCTCCTAGGAAAACGAGTAAGAGTGTGCGTAATGAAAATCACTACCTGTTTCAAGGGGCAGTCACTCCCTAGTCACTGCAGGAGCTGTGTGCATGGCTCCAGACCTTGTCCAAGTGTAGTCACGGAGGTGTAGGGGTGCAGGAGCATAACCCAGCTCTTGACCGATCTGCCCACTGGCATTCTGTCGACCTTGTATGTAATGGACAGTGAGACACGGCACCCTCAAACACCCTCAAATATTCTCAATGGATTTGTGCTGCGATGCCATTTGTGGCGAGTCCGATAGGAGGAGGAACGGAGACCATGCCTGGCGTCTGCCTCTCTCTGAATGGGGTGGGGAAGGCCTCCCGAAGGGGGTCGAGGCTTTGGGAGAGCCGCCGTGCGTGGCGCTATGTGTCAGTGTTTGTTCCTGTCAACTGTGGGACACTAGTGGTCTGAACTTCTGTCTTTTTTCTTTCCCTCCAGATGGTGTCCTACTCCTCTGTCCTCACAGCTATCAGTAAGGTATGACGACAGCCACTCACATGCTAGGTGGGGGGCAGGGGACAGAGACAGGGTAGTGAGAGAAGGGGCCCCACCTCCTTGACTGCTCCGATCCTGTGACTACTCAGGCTGTCATTGCTGCCTTCTGCCGGAGGGAGGGGCACCCTGGGAAGTGGGGGCTGACAGTTGGGAGCCCCCACTTTCAGTGTTGAAAGGATGCCCAGTCTGAAACCTGAGGTGGGAGGAAAGATGAGCAGGAACCCTGAGCGTCCCGTCTGCCTCCCGTGTGAGACCAGGGCTTGACTGGGGTGTCCTGTAGCATCACTGCTGTTCTTTCCGCAGTTTGATGACTTTTCCCGGGAACTCTGTGTCCAGGCTTTGCTGGACATCATGGACATGTTTTGCGACCGACTGAGGTAATGGCAGGGGTTAGGGGCTCATAGCCTCTAGCATTAGCTTAGTGTAAGGGCGAGCTCCCAAGAATATAGACTGAGCTCACTTCTGTGGCTTCCCATACTTTGTCCCCCCTGCTCACCCACACCCCATCCTTCTATTTATTCCTTAGGACAAAAACGCCTCTTCATGATTTGGAGTAGCTCATTTGAAACCTCGTCCAGTGGAAGCCGGCAGGGCTGTCTTCCCTAGGACTTGGCTGGCTTCCTAACTCTCTTCCCTAGAAGGGGAGTGCTGGACACTCTGGGGAACATTGGTGTAGGTCAGATTTCAGCCTTTGGAGCAGAAACAGATTTTGCCTCCTTCCCTGTAGCTGTCACGGCAAAGCGGAGGAGTGCATCGGGCTGTGCCGGGCCCTTCTCAGCGCCCTCCACTGGCTACTGCGCTGCACTGCAGCTTCTGCGGAGCGGCTCCAAGAGGGTCTGGAGGCTGGCACTCTAGCCGCTGGAGAGAAGCAGCTTGCCATGTGCCTGCAGCGCCTGGAGAAGACCCTCAGCAGCACCAAGAACCGGGCCCTTCTCCACATCGCCAAACTAGAGGAGGCCTGTATGTCCCCTCGTTCCCCTGAGCCCCACCTGCCACTGCTCCCATATCTGGTCCTTTAATTGAGAGGGGAGAGGCAGGATGGCATCCCACTTCTTTCCGAGAGGATCTGAAATCATCCCACTTCCTTTTTTCTCTCCCCATAAGCATTGCATACATCCCAGGGACTTGGGCAGGGTGGCACCCGAGCCAATCAACCAACAGGTATTTACTGAGCATTATTGTATGCCCAGCACTGTGCCAGGTGCTGGGGGCGGGGGGCGGGGGGCTCCCGGAGGAGCATGTGGCAGGGTCCCTGCCCTCAACCAGTATACATGCCAGTGGGGAGCAAGACCAGCGTGCAGTGTACATGGAAAGAATTAGGGGACAACTCAAGCACATGATTCCCCCTCATGGAGACATGTGTTTGTCTCCATGTTACTGGTCGTCTGAAAAGCAAACAGCTCTTGTGCTTGAGCATTGCCCAAAACGTCCTTTAAACACGGCACCTGCCTGCCATCAGGCCTGCTGCGCCGTGTACCTCTTGACTCAAGTGCACGTGTTAAACGTTGGAGCCCTCCAGAGCGTGAGACCAGACAGATCACCTGACGGGAGGGAAGACTCCAATATCCCGGATATGGGGCTTGGGGGCCACAGTCTTGCTGTGGCTCGGGACCACCCACGGAGCCCTTGTCCACTAATGAGAGTGTTAGGATGGGTTACCTTCAGGTCTTCAAGACCTGGTTGAAGAACTTGTTACAGGGTTGGTATATTTATTACTTCTCAAAATATGCTTTATCACCTGTGGAAAGTGCAGAAGGGTGACTACCATGTCCAAATGGGCTATGTTGACAGTTTCTTACGTATCTTGGGCACTTGACATATGCTTATTGGCTGAAAATGAATGAATATTTAACTTAATTTTAATGGATCTCAAGTCTTCTTGGTTTTTTTCTCCTGTGCTATGTGGAGGTTAGTAGGCTAGTTGGAGCCATTATTCGTCATTTGAGCCTCTGGGTTTGGAGCTAGGATAAGTGACTTAGAATTAAATACTAAACCCTGCAGTGTAGACCACGAGTTTGGGCATGTAGGAGGAGAGGTCAGTGGGTTGGACCAGTTGGTCAGTTGTTAAAGGAGCAGGGGCTCCAACAGAGGTTTGAAGGACAGTGAGCTGGAGAGATGAGGGTGAGTAAGCGGGACGTTTCAGAGGGGAAGGTGGCTGGAGCAAAGGCCCTGATGGGGAGGGAGTGGGAGAACACTGACGGCTGCGCAGGGGTCCAGCTTGACCAGCTTGGAGCGTGTTGGCTGCTTGCAAGACTGGCACACTCCTGCGGTGGCTTGCGGCCGCCTCCCTGTTCCAGCCACTGGGCTCCCCACCCCCCACCCCTGGCCCCTGCCTCTCTCTGTCACTGCCTGTGTTAGGACAACATATCTAGTCTCAAGTCGGCTGCACGCATCCCCTGAAGTCAGGCCTCCGGGAATAGTTTCTAGAGGCTTCACTGTTGGTACGCACCTGCCTTCTGAAAACAGTGCATGTGTCCCCCAGACCCCAGCCTCCATGTCGCCCTCAGGGGAAGCCACCCCCAAATCGAGGAGCTTGGAGCCACTCCCCCTCCCCTCTGTTTCCCGTCATGTTTCTGCATTTCCTTTTCTCCGCCAGCCTCCTGGACAGCCATCGAGCATTCTCTCTTGAAGCTTGGGGAGATCCTGGCTAATCTCAGCAACCCCCAGCTCCGGAGCCAGGCTGAGCAGTGTGGTACACTCATTAGGAGGTACACAGCTACCAGGGTGATTGTGGTGACGGGAGGGGTGAAAGGCCCTTGGTAGGGGTGGGGCCATGTGGTACCTGGCCCCGACCTCCTGCTCTCACCTGCTCTCCAGCTCTTCCTAGCTCACCAGACACCACCCCCTGTGCATCTGTCCCCTCAGTATTCCCACAATGCTGTCTGTGCACTCCGAGCAGCCGAACAAGACTGGCTTCCCCACGGTCCACGCACTGGTCCTGCTTGAGGGCACCATGAACCTGACAGGCGAGACGCAGCCACTGGTGGAGCAGCTGATGATGGTGAAACGCATGCAGGTGGGGGGGCCCGTGCTGCTTCTCTGTCCCCAAGGTGGCGGTCATTCTGGGGGTGGGAGGGAGGGTTCTTCTGGTCCTTCTGGGAGAGACTGGGTTTTTCCTGTTCATGGAAAGTGGGCCCCAGGCCTGCAGGGTTCCACCATCTCACCTGACGTCCCTGGGCCTCACGCTCCTGTGTTACACAGTCTCTGACCCATCTGATCACCAGGGGCCGCAGGAGCTGAAGGGGGAAATGGGGCCTCTGTAATGCCTTGCCTTTGGATGTTCCTGCAGCATATCCCCACCCCACTGTTTGTCCTGGAGATCTGGAAAGCGTGCCTCGTGGGGCTCATTGAGTCTCCTGAGGGTACGGAGGAGCTCAAGTGGACAGCTTTTACCTTCCTCAAGGTACCGGGGCTGGGGAGCAGCAAGACAGCCATTTTAGGAATGGTTCTTGGGAAAAGCAGCAGCGCTCTGGACCTCTGCCCTGTGCTTCTCCCGCTGGCGTCATGCCCAGCCTGCCAGATCCCCCAGCACAAGTTCCCATCGATTATTTTCTCTGAAAGTCCCAGGGCCATATTTAGCTCACTTGGCAGGCCTCTGCTGTTTCTTAGCACACAGGTGCTGTTTAGCTCAGTCTGTAACCTGATTGGTGCAGGGCAGTGGGCCCCGGTCCTTGAAGTAGGAGTTCCACCTTTGCGGGTGGCACCTCCCTGTTGAGCCAACAGCAGTTGGGGGGGAGGTTCCCTGTGACTTGTAGGCTGACATCACCAGGCCCACGGGTACCTGTCAGCTTTCTGATTCGGTTCCAAGAATGCTCACGTTCAGGCAGGAGTGTTCCTGTCTCTCTGCCCAGAGCAGGGGCTAAAGAGGACGCCTTTAGTTCTGGGCGAAAGAGAAGAACTCATGCTTTCTGTCTCCCCCCACCCCACCTCATCCTCTAGATTCCACAGGTCCTGGTGAAATTGAAAAAGTACTCTCACGGGGACAAGGTGAGCAGAAGAAATGAAATGGAGGGGGCACGGGAATCGGTGGGGCCTTGTTTCTGCCCTGGAGAAGCAGGGGCAGGGGAGGGCACCTGATTGCGCAGTAGCGTGTTCTTGTGCCTGGGGGAAGGGAAGCGGGAGTGCACCTGCACGCATGTGTGGCACCCCTGCAGCCAGTCCCCAGACGGAAGGCTGCCTGATGGTCGGGGCCAGGACCGCCTCGTGTGGTGACACCCTGCCCTTTTCCCCTGTCTAGGCCCTGGAAGCCAGTGGGTGGGCATGTAGGCTGCAGGCTTTTATACCCAGTGGTGTCCCTGGGTTCCCGCATCGCAGGCTGTGGCAGGGAGGAAGACCTAGAAGCCAGATGGCCCTTTCTGGCTCTTTGTATGTAGGACTTTACCGAGGATGTCAATTGTGCTTTCGAGTTCCTCCTGAAGCTCACACCCTTGCTGGACAAAGCTGACCAGCGCTGCAAGTATGAACTCCCTGCTTCAGTCTGCTGGAAGGTGCCCTGGGCTCTTCTGCTGCCCTCCTGTGTCAGATAAGCCTCAAAGGACTGTCTCATTGTTCGCTCCCCTTGGCAGGAGCAGGAGGCAACAGACCCTGTAGTTGCCCAGTGCCGAGCCCCTCTACCCTCTGCCTCCCCTCTGGCACTCCAGATGTTCTTTGTCCAAAAGGAGAGGGGAGTACCCGGGTGGGGCCCATTGCTCCTGCCCCTCAGGAACCCCTGGTCTGTGCCCAGTCCCTCACCATCTTTTCCTCTCACAGCTGTGACTTTACGGACTTCCTCCTTCAAGAATGTAGGAAGCAGGGGCTTCTGTCTGAGGCCAGTGTGAACAACCTTATGGCCAAGCGGTAAGTGTGATCTCCCTTGGGTCAGTTCAGGCCCTTTTGCCCTCCCTCTCTCGTGTCCAGACTGGGCTGCTGGCTGCCTTTTCCCTTCCCATCTAGAGTTTGGGTTGCAGGTGACTGGGACCAGGCCTGTGTTCACCAGAACAGGAGACACTGGTTTCCGCAGACTGGGGTTTTGCCCTCTTAGGCGCCATGCTTTCACTCTCAGCCTCCTTTGTGATCAAAGTCAGAATCCTTAATCTTCCTCCTAAGTCTTCAGTGAACTTTTAAAATAGATGTGATGCCCAATGACAAATCGAAGCAGTTACAGTATTGGGTACACTTTCATAAACGTCACTGTGACACCAGAGGTTTTCCTGTGCTTCCCCCCTCTCCGTGTTCCTCTGCTTCTGGGGCTGGACTTGGGAGCATGTCACGAATTTATCTCTGTTGCTGTTCTCTTCTTCGGCCGACTGGTCACGGCCACAGCGCAGCAGACCGGGAGCACGCACCTCAGCAGAAATCGGGAGAAAACGCCAACATCCAGCCCAATCCTGGGCTGATCCTCCGTGCAGAGCCCACCGTCACCAACATCCTCAAGGTGAGTGTGCCTTTCCCTTGCCCCCAGGGTCATCTCTTTTCTCTTCCTAGTCTTCCCTCTACTTCTAGGTAAATAAACAGAGGTCGTAGATCTCTCCCTTTCCTGGCTTTTAGGCATAGTTACTTTGAAAGTAGAGAAATGGGGAAGGCAAGGGAAAATGTCATTGGAAACTGGTATTTACTGAGCATCTTGTAAGCGGGCGCTGTGGTAGGTGCTTTCACTTAGCTCGTCTCATGCCGGAACAGCAGGGGATCACACAGCCATGCCCTCGCCACCCCAGCCCCACCACCGTTGCCCCAAGTCAGTCTCCAGGGACGGAGTGGAGAGCGAGGATAAGGTTAGGGACTGTTTCCCAGACCAGAGTCAGGAAGACATAGACTGAGGTGCAGGTCGTGGTGTATATGCAGCAAGAGAGACTGTGGCTGGGCTGTGTCTAGGGGTCCTCAGGGATCTTCAGGACTTGTTTCCCTGTTGTGTCCCCAGACGATGGACGCAGACCACTCCAAGTCCCCAGAGGGCCTACTGGGGGTCCTGGGCCACATGCTGTCTGGGAAGAGTCTGGACTTGTTGCTGGCTGCAGCCGCTGCCACTGGGAAGCTCAAGTCCTTCGCCCGGAAGTTCATCAAGTAAGGAAGACCTTCTGACTGGGACACGGAGGCACATCTGTAGGAGGGGACAGAGTGGGGTGAGGGCCTGGGATCTGGGTGTCCCCAGGGGTACTCAGGCCCAGGCAGAGCATCCGTCCAGCTGGAGACCCCGGGGAAGGACCATCTCTTTGGATGTGGAGCCTCTTTTCTCTTCAGCTGAGGACGCAGCGGAGGAGTTGGAGGCAGCAGCAAGGCATTGAACAGTTGGTGTGCAGGGACTTCGCATCCGCCCGCCGTTAACCAGGGCTCTCAGATTCTGTTGACTCTTTTGGGTTAACCTAGCATTTGAGATACAGAACATTGCTCTGTTCAGTAAGCCATTCTCTAGGCCCGGGAAATCTTTTAAAAACGAAGTCCCTTTTTCTGTAGCAATGGTTTAAGTTTAACCTGTGATTGGACTCCAGTGGCCGTCTCTCTGAGCGGGTGTGGTTCCCCCCTGACCCCAGCTGTTCTGCCCCTGCTGTGCCTGACGCGACCTGTCTCCATTCCCTCCACAGTTTGAATGAATTCACAACACACGGCAGCGAAGAAAGCAGTAAGTCTGCCCTTTGCACCCACAGGCCTGGTTGGCACTGAAAGGCGGGTGTGGAGGGAGAGCTCGAGGGGCTAGAGGATGCCTTCGTGCATCCTGGGAGGCTGTCTTCTCCCGGACCGATGGCTGATGGAGCCGCTGGGGAGGCTCGAAAGAGGGTAATTCCGGGAGAAGGATTCTTCTACAACCACCTCTTTGTCTCTCTCTCGCCCCCTTGGGGTTTGGTTGGGTTTTGGGGGGAGGGAGGGGATCGGGGGTCTTTGATTCCAAGGAAGGGATGATGTTTCAATTGAGACTCAAGAAAAGGATTCTGAGCCTCAGAGCTTTGAAGGAGATGCTTGGTCCCTGACCTTCCCTGAGGTGAACCCTGACACCCCCCCCCCCAACCTGGCCCAGGGCTTCGGCCCTGCCCAGACTGCAGGGTCAGCCTTGTCCTTGTCCGCAGCCAAACCTGCCTCTGTGCGGGCCCTGCTCTTTGACATCTCCTTCCTCATGCTCTGCCACGTGGCCCAGACCTACGGCTCGGAGGTGAGTGAGAGGGGCTGGCAGGGTTGGGGCACCAAGTGGGCAGGGGGAAGGGGAAGGAAACAACCGGTGTCTCTTCCCCTGGTCACCCCTTACTCCCTGTCAGTCACCCACACCCCTTAGTTCTGCTGGCTGCAGAAATCAGGCGTCCCCCTGGAGAAGCTCACAGATGCCCTCCGGGTCACATCCCAGATCCTTCAGTGCCACGTTCCTCACCACTAGGTGGCAGCATGACCCTAATCTTTTTCCTTTAGCCAATTTGTCCTGAATTCTTTAGGTAGGAAAGGGAGAAATGGGCGTGGGGGCAGCGTGCTGTGCCCTTCTCTTGGCCGGTGACGCTGCCCACCTTTCCCAGGTGATTCTGTCCGAGTCGAGCACTGGGGCGGAGGTGCCCTTCTTTGAGACCTGGATCCAGACCTGCATGCCCGAGGAGGGCAAGATCCTGAACCCTGACCACCCCTGCTTCTGGCCGGACTCCACCAAAGTGGAGTCCCTCGTGGCTCTGCTCAACAACTCCTCGGAGATGAAGCTGGTGTCAGTGGCCCGGGCGCCCGCTCCAAGGGTGGCGGTGGAGGCGGTGCCCGGCCCCTCGCCCTCAGCCCACTCCTTGACCCCCTGTGATGGTTCTTCTTTCACCCGTCCCTTCTCACAGGCAGATGAACTGGCATGAAGCCTGTCTCAGCATTTCGGCCGCCATCTTGGAAATCCTCAATGCCTGGGAGAACGGGGTGCTGGCCTTCGAGTCCATCCAGGTAGCCCCACTTTCCCAGGAGCCAGTCTGTGAGAGATTGGTTGTATTTCATAAGAACAAAAAGACCCTTAATCCAGGAGCTCATGTTTAGGTGCCGATCTTCCTTGTAATCAGAATGTTAGCCACTCCCTCCCACCCAGGCGATTTTGGGGAAATCAGACTTGCGGTGAGAAGAGGTGTGGAATGTGGCCCAGGGCCCCACCTGTGGCACTTAGCAGCCTGCAAAGGCTGCGGAGACGCATAGCAGGGAAGGAGAGGTGGTGACCCCCGCTGCCCTGTTCCCCCTCTCAGAAAATCACCGACAATATCAAGGGGAAGGTGTGCAGCCTGGCGGTGTGCGCCGTGGCTTGGCTCGTGGCCCACGTGCGGATGCTGGGGCTGGACGAGCGGGAGAAGTCACTGCAGATGATCCGCCAGCTGGCAGGGCCCCTGTACAGCGAGAACACCCTGCAGTTCTACAACGAGAGGTCAGCGGCCCCTCCCCCCGCCCTGCCCCTGGGGACTCCACGGGTCTGTCGTGAGAAGTCAGCCCGTCCGGTAACCAGTAACCCTTTCCCTCACCTTCCCAAACGCCCCGCTCCCTTGCTCACTCACTTCCTCGCTCACTCATGTTCTTACTCACACATTCACTCACTGATTCAGCAGCATTTCAGGGTGCGTCTTACCCAAAGCCGGCCGCAGCCCGGAGTCCAGACCCCAGACGACTGCGACTCCTGCCCTCAGAGGGGCCGTGTTCTGGAGAGCTGGCTTGGTAGAAGAGCAGAGTGATTGTCTTCACTGTGTCACTGTTTTACATCTGTAGGTTTTAGAAACTGGGTTTTACATCTGTAGGTTTCACGGGCCTTCAGCCTGCCCGCTCCCCTTCCCTTCACCTGGCCACCTTTTGTGACATTTTTCCTGCCTTGGCTGTACAAGGGCTTAGAGAATCAACCTGGTCATGTCGGCCATGTCAAATTCAGTGGCATTGATTCATTCGCGCATCCAAAAAGCTTTTTTAAAAAATTATGGTTAAAAAGTATATATATATAACAAAATTTACCACCTTAACCATTTTAAGTGTATAGTTCAGTAGTGTTAACCTCTGTTCACATTGTCATAAAACAGGTCTCTGGAATTTTCATCTTGTAAACTCTGTACCCGTTAAGTTACAGCTTGCTCTTCTCCCCATACCCCCAGCTGCCTGTGACCACCAGTCACTCTACCTTCTGTCTCTGGGGACGTGACCGCCCCAGGCGCCCCCGTGAGTGGGGTCACGCAGCATTTGTCCTTCAGTGACCACCATGTTTCCCTTAGCATAAGGGCCCCAAGGTTGATCCGCATCGTACAGCACGTCAGAGTTTCCTTCCTCGTTAAGGCTAATCACGTTCTGTTGCACGTCCATATCATATTTTGTGTACCATGTATCAGCTGATAGACCCTTGGGTGCCTAGTACTTTGCTGTGAATGGTGCTGCCACGAGCGTGGGCACCAGCCCACGGATGCGCGGTGAGTGGTGGCATCCGCGGTGGCCCTCAGGGTGCCCTAGAAGGGAGGGTGGGACACTGAGCTGAAATGAGGCTGGGGGGCCGATGGGACCTCCTGTTTCCCCCTTGCCTCCTTTCTCTCCGCCCACAAGTAACGGAGTGGGCGCTCTCACGCAGCCCAGTTTGGGCACCCGGACCCCCGCCTGGGTGAGGCTGCACCACGCAGGTGGGGAAAGTGGCTCCGAGAGTCATGGCGACTTTCCCAGAGCCGCGCCGCATTCCCGAGAGCTGTTAGCTCTCCGCCTGGGTTCACATGTGCAGTCGCAGGCGCTTCGTGAGAAAATTCCTGGGTATGCACTCGTACTTGCCCAGCTACCCAGGGCCGGGAAGGGCCCTGCGGGGCAGCCCTTGGGCCCCTGTCCTGGAAGGAGCAGTTTACATTGGTAGGAGGCCAAGGCTGGGCGGGGATCCCCCTCATGCACTCAGCCCAGAGGGAAGTGATCGTTCTTATTTGTGTGAGAGTGTTGGCACGGCGGGCCTGGGGGTGGGGCAAGTTGGAGACAGAGGAAATGTGAGTGTGTTGCTGGATTACCTGGGGAAGGCGAGCACCCCCTGCCCGCCACAGGCTTGGTGCCCAGCAGGCGAGCCCTGCCAAAAGCAGGACTGGTAGGGTCAGGTCTGCCAGGGGTTTGCAACTTCCTCCTGCCTTCTCCCTTGGCATAGAATGGGGCTGATTCCCCAGGGATAGTTCCGTAACCCAAGCCCTGGGAAACGTCCGGCCTGGGTATTTTCTCCCCTCCCCACCCTAGCCCTCGAACCCCGAGTTGCCCAGGCCTCAGGTCCCCACCCCCCCCCGCAGGGTGGTGATCATGAGCTCCATCCTGGAGCACATGTGCGCTGACGTGCTGCAGCAGACGGCCACGCAGATCAAGTTCCCGTCCACGGGCATGGATGCGATGCCCTACTGGAACCTGCTGCCCCCCAAGCGGCCCATCAAGGAGGTGCTGACAGACATGTTTGCCAAGGTGCTGGAGAAGGGGTGGCTGGACAGCCGCTCCATCCACATCTTTGACACCCTGCTGCACATGGGAGGCGTCTACTGGTTCTGCAACAACCTGATTAAGGTGCTTGGGGGGGGCTGTGGGTGGGTGTGGGGGCCCACGGGTGGTGGTGGGCATCCTCAGACTCCAGGAGACACCTGAGAAAATGCCAGACAGGACCAGACGTGGTCCCATCTCTCACTGCCCAACACCCAGCACTTCTCTGAGAGGCTTTGAAAATGCTGGTCCTCCGCTTGGCACTTGGAGGGGACCAGAGGCCCCGAGGCAGAGGGAGGCCTGGGGCAGCAGCCAGGGCTCCCTGCACTCCTTCCCAGGGAGCCGCCTGCAGCTGCAGGGGCGTCAGAACCCCAGACCGGCCTCAGCGCCCGAATGCCTGCCCCCGCCTGCTCAGGAGCTGCTGAAGGAGACGCGCAAGGAGCACACGCTGCGGGCCGTGGAGCTGCTCTACTCCGTCTTCTCCCTGGACATGCAGCAGGCGACGCTGGTCCTGCTGGGCCACATCCTGCCCGGCCTGCTCACCGACTCCTCCAAGTGGCACAGCCTCATGGATCCCCCCGGCACAGCTCTCGCCAAGTAGGAGTCTGCAGAGCCTCAGGTCCCCGAGCCCTGGGTCAGGCGCCCTTCCCCGGGCCCCCCAGAACCTGGGCTGTGGGGAGGCCCTGCCAGGTGTTGCCCAGTCCCCATGGGCACAGAAACCCCCCTTTGGGGTCCCTCTGATTTCGCCTCTTTTCCTGGAACCCTTTGCCAGGCTGGCTGTCTGGTGTGCTCTGAGCTCCTATTCTTCCCACAAGGGGCAGGCATCCTCCCGCCAAAAGAAGAGACATCGGGAAGACATCGAGGTAGGGGACTCCTCTGTTCACTCGTTCACAGCCTGCAGACGTTTGTGTCTCCTGTGGCTGGGAGGCGTCCTCCCGGGCAAAGGCAGGCAGGCATGCCAGGGAAGCCTGGTGGCCGCACGTCTGCAGCGGTGACCGAGAGTGGCTCACACTAGGATCATTGGAGGGGTGAAGGTAGCCCCCCTGGAAATGCTGACCAGGGCCTGTGGGGCTTGGCCATCACCCACTCTGATCTGAGCTGCAAACCTCTTGCCTGGTAATAGCGAGTTCCCCACCCTCCAGGATTACATCAGCCTCTTCCCCCTGGATGACATGCAGCCCTCAAAGCTGATGCGGCTCCTGAGCTCCAATGAGGAAGATGCCGCCATCCTCTCCAGTCCCAGTGAGTGTGTGACCAGGGGCTGGGTGGCCACTTCCTTCTCTGGGAACTCGCTCCTGCCTAGACTGCTCTGCACTGGTCCCCAGCTGCAGGCTGCTTTGCTGGCTGCTCAGGGAGGGTGTGGCCGGGATATGTCCTGTTTTGTCTCCCGTGGGCTGCTGCTCTGTCTCCTAGCTCCCTTTTCCCCAGAGACCAGAAGTTGTTGAGGGTCTCTTCTGAGGGTTAAAGTCTTCTGCCCGGATGCAGTCCCAGGGACACGTTGCTGCCCTTCCCCTCCCCTTACCACAAGGTGGAAGGAATGACAAGCTCCCCAAGTGAGTTCACCGTCTTGGGCACAGTCTGCACCATTGACTCACCGCTCTGACCTTCCTTCCCCTGAAACAGGCCCTGAGGTGTGGCCTGGGCCTGGGCCTGGGCTGGGACTTGGGGCTGCTCCCCACTCTTCCTGCCTGGAGAGCACCCCTCCCCCACCGCCCCCCCCAGATTTCATCGCCTCTCCCTGCCGAGGCTCCTGTGGCATTGAAGTTTTCCTGTTTTTAGAGATTTCTCCTGAGCCCGGAAATTTTTTCTAGGGACTAGGGAACCAGCTCTGCAGTTGGGCAGAGGACAGATGCTCAGTTGCTCCTGCAAACCCGGAGACTTTTGGCTAGTTACCACGTGCAGCTGAGCCTTGGTTTCTTGGTCTGCAAAAGGAGGCATGAGGATTAAGCAGCTTAGTCCCTGTACAGCTCGCGGATGGGCGCCTTGCGCCCAGTGATGCTCACCAGTTAGTTCTTCCGTCTCACCTCCTCGTGGGGATCTCTGCACTCAGGACCCTCTGAGACTCTGGCTCCGAGGACCTCCTCGGGGCGGACCCTGCACACCTGGAGGGGGAGGGCTTTCCCAGGAAAGGAGGTTTGGGCCCTGGAGGCCTTTCCCATGGTGTCCCCTCCATTGGCCCCACAGCCGACCGGTCCATGAGCAGCTCCTTGTCGGCCTCCCAGCTCCACACAGTCAACATGAGGGACCCGCTGAACCGCGTCCTGGGTGAGCCCCCCCACCTCCGCTCCTGAAACAGGGTTTAGGCCTCGTCAGCTGGAAGGGGGCCTCTTGGTGCTGCCGCCCCCTCTGCCACATTTCTCCACCTGTCCCCCTCTCCCCTACTTGCTAGGGCTCCGGCCTCCCCCAGGGAGTGTACGGTCTCTTCTGACTCGCCCCTGGTTTTTCTTTTATGTCTCCTCTTTTTGACATCCCAACTTTGGGGGGCATTCTTAGCATTGCTTTCTTTTCCTTTTTCAGCCCCACCTCCTCCCAGAGTCTGACCTCTTCCCAGACCTTTCTCATGGAGCTCTTCTCATTCTGCCCTGTCCTGCCCCACACAGCCAACCTCTTCCTGCTCATCTCCTCCATCCTGGGCTCGCGGACCGCCGGCCCGCACACGCAGTTCGTGCAGTGGTTCATGGAGGAGTGCGTGGACTGCCTGGAGCAGGGCAGCCGCGGCAGCATCCTGCAGTTCATGCCCTTCACCACCGTGAGTGCCTCATGTCCGGGGCGGGGGCTGGCCCCGCCTTCCAGCTCACACGGGGTTCGGTGGCAAGTCCTCAGGGTAGAGAGGGGGCCTCCTTCCTCCCAAGACACCTCACCTACCACAAGATAGCCTCAGCATGCAGCTGTCTGTCTGTCTGTCTGTCTGTGGCAGGTATCAGAACTGGTGAAGGTGTCGGCCATGTCCAGCCCCAAGGTGGTTCTGGCCATCACGGACCTCAGCCTGCCTCTGGGCCGCCAGGTGGCTGCCAAAGCCATTGCCGCGCTCTGAGGGGCCCGGATGGGAGGGCCCCGGCCCCAAGTTCCTCGAAAGGAACAGTGAGGACAGATGAGGCATCATTGCTCACACTCCATGATGTAAGAGCCCCTGTTAGTTTCCAGGCCTTTCCCCGATCCCTGACATCTGACCGTTAGGATGTCTCCCCATCTCCTTCTTTCATAATTTCCTCTTCCCGCTACCACTGCCTGAATAGCGGGAGCCGCCTGGTTCCTTAGCTCAGGCCGGCCTCAGCACGCCACAGCCCTCCGGGCACCCCGAGGAGCTGTGTGGGTGCAGACGTGTATATGTGTGTATATGTGTATTAAAAGTTTTTTCATAATTCACGAGGGAAGTCCGCCTCAGCTCACTTGTTAATCAGGGTCCTCGTGGACTCCTTTGTAAGTGGTATCGGGGCCTTTGCGGCGGGTGGGAACAGGGTCTTCTGCTTGCAGCCCCCTTTGTCCTGGCCCTGGGCCAGGCTCCTCCTGGGCTTGAGGAGGGAGGGGCGGTGTGCGGAGAAGGGCTGGCCTCGCCCGAGCTGGTGCACGCAGCAGGGTCGGGCGCGGGCAGTGGGAGCAGCTTCCCTTCCTCAGACTCGCGCTGTGGGGCAGTGAGTCACCTCTGGCCTGCGACCTACGCCCACCCCCAAAGTCAGACTCACTCTGCAAAGAGTGAGGTTTTGGCCAGAGGGCCCGCTGGCGTTGGGGAAGCCTGTCCTGTCTGATGCTCCCAGCCCCACCCAGAGTCTGATGAACCGGGTCCATCTGCTCCCAGGAGGACACTGGCGGAGTGAGCGGCAGGGGCTCTGGTCAGCCCGCCGCATTGCCAAGCCCAGCTTCCTCAGGGCTCACCCGAGAGGGTGAAGGACCCTGAGCTGCACAGCTGGGAGGGCTGGCCTGGCTCAGCCAGACCCTGCTTTCCAAGGAGCCACGTGCAGTGGGGAGGCGGGAAGTGATGAGGGTGGCGAAGCCTAGGAAGGGGGAACTGGGGACTCCTTGGCCGTCTGACTGCCCTGGGTCTGGTAGAGGCACTGTGAGCTGAGCGCACAGAGGCGCACCCCAAGCCTGTGATGTGAAGCAGCCCCTCCATCTCTGTGTGTCCCTCACCCTCGCTGTGAGCTCAGCCTTTTCAGCCCTGGCTGAGACACGCAGGAGAGCAGCCGGCTGGCATGAGACCGCTCCCTGCCAGTCTGAGGCAGAGCCTGGAATTCGAGTTCTAGCTCAAGTTGTCACCTAGACTCAGCTTCCTCATTTGCACGACTCACATCTTAATTCCACCTCTGTGGGCACCGGTGAGGGCAGTGGGCTGGATTCATGGGAGATGCCCAACCGACCAGCCCCGGTGGACCTGCACTGCGTCGGGGCCGTCGCGGCTCTCGCCCAGCCCCACACTCTGCTGTCCTCGCGCCAGTGCCCCACATGCCTCCTGTCGCCGCGCCACCCCCCAGGGTGGGACCACACCCGCTGAGTGCACTGCTGTGTCCCCAGCACCTGGCCCAGTGTCTGCGCAGAGCAGGTGCAAGGTAAATAGGTGTGGGAGGCGTGAATGCGGAGGAGCAGAGCACTGTGCTCCTCCTCCCTGCTCCTCCTCTTCCCTCCCTCGGCCCTTGACCACCATTCAACTCCCTGCCCCCCAACACCTGGCCAGGCACCAGCTGGACTCAAGAAGGAGGAAAGACATTTGCTGGAGGCAAATACTTTATTAACCTGGAGTTTGGCTACAATAGAAAGTAGGGGCCGAGGCAGAGTGAACGATTGAGCTTCCCTCGCACACACCCACCACATAATCCCCCTCCTCTTCTCTCACCCCACCCACATGCACACCAGCCGTCCTCCCGACCCTGAGAGGAGTCAGAGTACTGACCCCGTGGGGTGGGGTGGGTGGCACAGCCTAGGGGTGTCCACAGTGCACCCAGGAAAAGGAGAGATACCCCACTGGTGTCAAAACGTGCCCCCCAAAATATTAAGGAAAATTAGTGTTCCCAACAATTTTTGTGGGACCCCAGGGTCAAGCCTCCCAGCTCTGGCTGCCTGTGCTGGGCTTCAGGCCCGTGAGGGGGAGGGGGCCCGTGAGGGGAAGCGAGGCCTGGCCCACCCGGCAGGCGCACACCGAGCTGAGGCCAGGGCTGGGGCGGGATGCAAGGGCCAGGCTGGGGAACACTGCTGTTTAAATATTAAACAGGCTTCTTGTCTCCCACTTGGGAGATATCCAGATGCTGCCAAGGGCCCCAAGTTGGGGACCCTCGGGGTTGGGGGTTCACTGCAGCTCTTCCAGTGCCCACCCTAGTCATAGGAACTAATACTTGGTATTTACCTATCTACCTCCCAGTCCAGGGGACAGGAAGACAGGGGCTTTCTCTCTGCCATGGCAGGAGAGCGACACGGGGAGGTGGAGGGAAGAACCCAGGAGTCTGGGACTCTCTTCCACTCTTCCCTGTCTTTAAATATTAGGTTTAAATAAACATAAATATTAAATAGAGATAAATACAGTGGACGCTAGGGTTTTGCTCAGGGCTCGGCAAGGTGGCGCAGAGCGCGGTAGGCCAGCTCCAGGAAGCGCTGCAGGTTGGTGGCAACCAGGACCCCTCCGGCCCGGCGCTGGAAGGCCGAGGTGAAGACTGGTGTGGGGCCCCGGGTGGCCTGCAGGGCAGGGGCCATCCTCAGGTCTTCCATCTGTGGGGGAAAGACGACCCGCAATGAGGCCCTGCCGAGTGGGCGTGGTTGTCACAGGTGAGGCAATGCAAAAGGCTGGTGGGCTGCGGGTCACGTGGTTGATGTGGTTGCGGTGGTTATCGACAGAACCGGGACCTGAACCCAGGTGTGTTTCAAGGTCCAGTGATTCAGCTCTTGCCCTCAACTAGGGGGTGTGTGGGAGGGCCAGCAGCAGGAGGGTCCTGGGATGGGTGGTAACTCCCTAATACAGCCCACCACCCAACGCTCCCACCAACCCCTAAAAAACTTGCAGGACCCCCTAGGCATCCAGCACGACCTTTAGGGACCAGTTTGATCCAGACCTTAACATGCCTGTCCCACTCCAGGCTCACCTGCTGCCAGATGTTGGTGGCAAAGTCCGTGATGTCCAGCTGCAGCATGTCCAAGGTTGGTGCCAACTCCGGGGAGATTCCCTCCAGGGCCTGCAGGAGGCCCTGGTAGAGGAAGAAGCCACTGTGGAGTTGTCTCAGGCAGCCCGTCTGGGGGAGACGGAGTAGGAGAGTTAGGGGTGCTGCCCGAGATGCGCCCCTCTGGCCCCAGCTTCAAGCCTGGGGGTGAGGGGCGGGTCCTCCCAGATCATCCTTCCGTGTCCCTCCCGGCCACTCACTCACCGGCTGCAGGGCCCGGCTGGAGCAGCTGCTCAGGGGAGCCTGGGGGATGCCCAGGAAGTGCCTGAGCAGCACCAGCTCCTCAGGGTGGCACAGCTTGTGGGTGGCACACTGGGGACGAGAAGGATGCTGAGTGCCAGGGACGTGACAGGGGCAGCTGGTCCTCTCCATCTCTCCGAGGTCTTCCCCTGCCTCCGTGTCCTGCCAGGCCCCTCAGCCCCATTCCATCCCAGCCAGTCCCTCCCAGCACTGTCCCCGAGAGGTTCTCTTCCCCTAGTCCCCAGCCTTTCAGGGCTCCTCTGCTTCTAACCTACTTTCTTCTACTCCCCCATGCCTCTCCTCTCCATGCCCCTTCCTTACGTCTTCTCCACACTGCCCTCTCCCTCAGCATTCTCTTCTGGGTCCTGTTTCCTCTACACCCTCTCAGCAGCATCCCTGTTCCCTCCCTGCCTTTCTGCCAGCCCCTCTCACTCACCAGCCTCTCCTGCATGACCACAACATCAGCCTGGATCTTCCTCACTTGCTCTAAGCACTTGAGCAGGAAGCTCTGGGGCAGGTTGCTGGCAGGGCTCAGGGGAGTGGCTTCTTGCACGGCCCAAAGTGCACTGTACCAGAGTAGCAGCTGTAGGGCTAGAAACAGACCAGGGGGGCTCAGGAGACATGCTCTCCACTCCTACCTGGGTCCCGTTCTGGGGGCGTAGGGACCCCCAGCTGCTTAGGGACCACTCCAGCCTCCTTCCCATGCCCTGGGCAGCCAGCTCCTGGATTCCGGGCAGGGACACTCACCCATCAGCTTCATGGGGCTCTGGTCAGCAGGCTCAGCAGGGTCTGGGTAGGTCTGCAGGCTCGGGGCTCTGTCAGGGGCCAGGTCTGGAGGGCCTTTATACACAAGCCCATGGAGGCCTGGGAGGAAATTACCTGGTACTAAGACTAAGGCTTAGTAATAACTTCCTAGGATTTATGCAAATTTGTTGTCCAGGACAATTCGGGGGGAGCGGGTTGAGACAAAAAGCTGTTTGCGAAAGTTTTGTGAAATTGTGGAATCTCTGATTCTTCTTTGACGTCGTGTCCCCCTCAAACTCTCTTCCTCCCCTAGCCCCACCCAGGCCTGAATTGCCCCAGGGTGTTTGAGCAGAACCTCAGAACAAAGGCCGAGCCACTGATAAAGGCGTTGGAGGCTGGAGCAGGGTCAGACTGCTCTGGGAGAGGCAGCCCTCCAGGCAGCCAGCCCTGGCTCCCTTGGCAGAGCGGTGGGGCAGCTCCCTTTGCCACATTCCCTTGGGATAGATAATCAAGCCACCTGCTCCCTGCCCCCAAATTCTGAGAGAGAAGAAGCTAGTTGCCCCCATTCCTACCCCCAGACTCCCGGGAGGCTGCCTTCCTGAGTCCTCTTCTGAAGGGCCAGGGGCTTGGGACAAGGACATTAGGGTCTTGCCTCCTACCCCCACCCCACGATTTGATGGCTACCATCCCAGTCTCCTGTCCTGAAGTGGTTAGCTGGGAACTCCCCAATCCCCTCTGTGACTCATTCCCTTAAGCCCCTGGAATCCTGGCAGAGACCAGAGGAAACCGGATGTCTGTCCCGAGTGAAGCAAGGCCCTTGGGGGCTCTTGGTTCACCTGACCTTGCCCTTGCTCCTCCTCCTACATGCCCCCTCCCCAAACCGTGTCCCCTGGCCATGGGTTTGGGAGTCTGGGACATGTGGCTTCTCAGGCCAGGTTCACTGCCAGCCAGAGTGTGCGTGCTGCCCTGAGGTGAAGAAGAGCTGGGGGTGACAAAGAAGGAACTTCCCCGGCTTGGGACCCTACCACCATGCCCTGCTGGCACTGGAAGAAATCTTGGAGTGTGTTCCAACCCTGTGACTGGACCAGGGAGGGAAGTGCCTTGTCCACAGTCAAGGGTCACAGAGCCAGAGTCACACCCTGGCCCTCTGCCTGGGGTCAGAGAGCTTTCCACGGGCCGTGGGCCCTGCCCAGAGCACTCTGACGATCACACCCCAGGCTGTCATTTTCTGCCCCATTTACT